AGGTATATGGTGTGGCACCCGGTATCGATCTGGAAGGTAATCTATTCTTCAACCAGATGGCATAACTCACTGCTTCCGCCCACAGGAACTTCAGCAGACTACGTCCGAGTAGCATGGCACATGTGTGCTCAACCAGGGTACGGTTAAGTCTCTCCACCACCCTGTTCTGTTGAGGTGAGTCATGAACAGTCAGTTCACGAGTGATACCATTGACCTTCAGGTGTGCATCAAAATCCGCACTAAGATACTCTCCGCCCCTATCAGATCTAAGGGTTTTGATGCGAGCTCCACGCTTCTGATTGGTAAGCCTCACCTCATACTGCTTGAACGCCTCTAACGCTTCACTCTTATGCCGCAGGAACACTACTTGGGTCTCCCGCATATAGTCGTCGGTAAAGCTCATGTAGTAGCTCAATCCTGCTAGACTAACTGTCTGGGATGGTCCCCACAGATCCGTGTGCACAACGTCACCGTACACCGTTGCTCGCCTAGTCGCCTCCTTGGGAAAGGCTTATGGGCTGACTTAGCCTTGACGCAAACATTGCAGAACTCCTCAGTGGACGTGGGATCAAGGCTTAGGCCTTCTACTAACCCCTTCATTACAGCATGTTTGACTGTGTTCTGGGTGATATGTCCAAGGGCCTTGTGAAGCTCATGTACGGTGCATTTTCCCATTGCTAGGTGCACTTGCTGTTTGATGTCACCTGCAACGCTATACAGGCGATCGATTTGTGGGATCGTGGTGATAATGCTACGTTGGGGCGTAGGGGACAGTATCTTGCACATTCTGTCCTTGAAGTGCACAGCGAGTCCAGAAGCTGTGATGTGAGCGGTGGAGATGAGCATAAACACCATACTAGGTGCGTATAACGCGTCCTTCAGTGTCACTGACATCTTTTCCTTGCCGTTTGGCAGCTCTAGCCTCACATCCCCTTTGCCAATGGCACTAAGGGCAAATCCGTCCGCGGTATGGACGTTCTGGGGGTCTATGGCCTCATAGTTGAGGAACTTGGACCTATCCGGGCAAAAATGCGAAGTTGCCCTGGAATCGACGATCGCTCCTTGATGTTCCACCGGGACAGTAAGCTGGGCGGCTATATTTCGAAGATTAGAGGTTGTGAAAGCGTAGTTGTTGGGGGATGGGTTAGATGCGGTTGAATTAGCGCCTTCCTTAGGTGTGCGTGTGCCCCTTCTCTTCTGTCTGGGACCTTGACCCTCCTTTCCACCACCAGGCCTCCAGCAATCAGACTGGTAGTGGCCCTTGCGCTCACAATTGAAGCAGATAATGTCTGCGTTCTCTCTGCTCGTGGCAGGTGCGCCCCTCTTATTCCTTCCAGGACCAGACTTGGCCATTAAGGCCAAATTACCACCTTTCTTCGACCCTTGTCGTTCCGTCAAGAGATGGTGCTCATATTCCTCCGTTATAATGGTGAAAAGCTCGTTAGAGGTGAGTGGGGTCTGGGTGATTCTGGCAGCAGCACTAATAGAGAATAGGATGGGTCTGTATGACTCTGGGAGCGATCCGAGGAGCATCGCGTGAAAATCGCGGTCCTCGATGATGGACCCCATGCCGGCGAGTGTCTTGCGCAGCCTTAGGAGCTCCGAAAAATGTGCCTTGACATCGCCATTCTCCTCACAGCGTATGTCTTGTAGGCGTCGTCGTAAATCGACTTGCACTAATTCTGTCTTGCCTTCGTGGATCAAGCAGATTTTGTTCCAGATGCTGGATGCACAGTCCAGCCATTGGACTCGCAGCAGGAGTCTATCTGTGATAGTACTAAATATCTGCTGCTTGACGAGTGAGTCTTTCTGATAGAACTCGTCAATCTTCTTATCTAGCTCTTCGATCTCTGTCTCTGTGGCTGTTGAGCTGTCAGGCTTCATGACAGCTAGCGTGGTCTCATTCACGTCGAATGGGATCAGTTTGACTGCTCAACCATCGGTATAGCGCATCAGACCTCACGCACCTAACACCGTTAATGTTCTCTCCTTATAGGTAATCCAATTTGAGCCGTCTTCAGCCAATTTGGGGACATTAAACAATGCAGAGTTGGTGCCGGGGAGCATCGTATCCATGGTGGAGGCAGGGCTCATAACCTCTGGTGATCAGAGGATGAGAGCGCACGCGGAGTCAAGGCTAGTAGAATAGAATCTCAGTTTCAGGATGAAGACTCGTGCATACACAAGTATGTACCTAGTAGAATAGACTAAAGTACTTGTTAGCTCGTTGTTAAGACCATGCTCAAGGGGCAGATCCGAAGGGCTTGGCTTCAGCTCGTGCGCTGCGCCCCTTACCCGAGTACGTGCCCTTAATTTCCGAAGGCTAGAAACAAAGTCCGAGGGAGGATGATGAATCCCGGTGGATTTCAAGGGGACAAGTCTGGTAGGCTTTTCAAGGAAGAGTCAGGCCGATGTTCAGGGGGTTAGTCCGGCCAACGTAAGGAGGGTTAGTCCGGCCGACGTAAGGAGGGTTAGTCCGGCCGACGTAAGGAGGGTTAGTCCGGCCGACGTAAGGAGGGTTAGTCCGGCCGACGTAAGGAGGGTTAGTCCGGCCGACGTAAGGAGGGTTAGTCCAGCCGACGTAAGGAGGGTTAGTCCGGCCGACATAAGGGGATTAGTCCGGCTGACATAAGAGGATTAGTCCGGCCGACATAAAGGGGGTTTGTCGGCCGACGTAAGGAGGGTTAGTCCGGCCGACATAAGAGGATTAGTCCGGCCGACATAAAGGGGGTTTGTCGGCCGACGTAAGGAGGGTTAGTCCGGCCAACATAAGGGGATTAGTCCGGCTGACATAAGAGGATTAGTCCGCCGGACAATAGGGGCTTAGTACACCCGGAGAATAGGGGCTTTAGTCCGGCGGACGTTGGGGACAGAACAGACAGGTGTAAGGACGGAAAGACAGGAAGTCCGAGTGGACGGAAAGACAGGAAGTCCAAGGGGACAGAAGGACAGGAAGTCCGAGAGGACATAAGCTAGAGGTAAGACTACACTAGACAATGTCCAGAGTAGAAACTGACAGAGGTAGACTACCCGAAGGTAGAGGCGGAGTATAGCCCAAGGAATCAATCCCAGGACACAGAGGTTGGACAGGGAAGTGGACCCAGGCCCATGGAAGTGGATCCGGGTCCGAGGAAACAGGAATGAGGATAATCTAAGGTGATATTCAAACTGAGGAAACTACTACGAGTTTACAAGGTATTATATACTATGGACATGTGCGACGGGGACAGAGTCAGCGGAGATCCAGGTCAACAAGAGGAACATATGGAAAGGTTAAACTGACAGGCGCAAGGAAAATAATACAGGAACAATCGAGAATGGAGACGGAGATGAAGTATCAAATGGATCCGGGCATAGGAGGTGTGATCGAGAATGAAGTCGGATATTAACTGTCAAACAGATCCGGGCATATAGGGGTTAGGACAAGGGGACTATACAAATGGGGTAACAGAATAGGAGCAGGACCGGAAATGAACTGTCAAGCGGATCATGGGAAATGGGGACGGAGATGAACTGTGAAGTGGATCCGATGTTTTAGGGGTTAAGTGGACCTGGGTCCGAAGCTCAGGATCTGAGTAGGTCCGATGTTTAGGGTCCGATGCTTAGGGGTTAAGTGGACCCGGGTCCGAAGCTCAGGATCTGAGTAGGTCCGATGTTTAGGGTCCGATGCTTAGGGGTTGAGTGGACCCGAGCGGGTCTGACATATAGGATGTCCGACGAATACAGGAGGAGCGGACGAGTGGACGAGCGGATGACATGAGTGGGATCCGATGAATAGGACGTCCGACGAAAAGGAGATCCGAGGTATGCAGGAGGAGGACCGATGAATAGGGCGTCCGACGTATAGGAAAGCAGGGCAGATCCTGCTGAGGGGTATGTCCAGTGGAGACTGGGATGCGGAGTTATCCTGCCGAGGGGTAGGGATAGGGTTAAGGTATAGCTTGGCTACATTTTGGAGGTCCGGACATTGTGTGTTGCGAGAGATGGGATATGATTCAGGGGCTCAGTGTACGGTATATGACAGTTGAAATAAATGGTATATGTACTCACATCTCAGTTTCAGGATGAAGACTGAGATGCTACGTCATTGTGACTCGATACTTTATCTTGTATGGGTGGAATAGAAACGCAAGACACAAGCCCAAGACACAACACTTGGGAGGAGGAACAGCCGACGTCACTTTGCGCTCATACCTGTCTCATCTCCCCCTGTCTCCATCATATGATCGGATTCCAACAGATCCTATGTGTGTTCTTGGCCAGCTATATGATAGAACTACTCAAAATATACATAGAAATAGACCCCCTACCTCAATTGAGGTCCGGTCCTACAGGAAAAAATTTCACAGGGGGTAAACCACCAGGAGCGGGGGGGAGCACCATGCAACAGGATATCATCCTATGGTCCTGGGCTCCTGATACATTGTTCCTATTGTTTAATAGATGCTGGGAATCATTTTTACAAGTCTGTTCACCTAGAAATAATTAAATGGGAGCATATTCTGTGTTTTATTGCATATGTGCTATATCTATTGATGTAGGACACTTCAGAGGGTCAAATAAAGATGGGAATCTACTCATATATGCTCATAAACATGTTCTGAATATAATAGAACACACCCCTATCAAAGGGGCAAAAGTGCGAAAATGTCCTGTACCCTACCCTATTTTGAATTGCCCCTGGAGGAGGAGCAGGCACACAAACAAACAAAAAAAGTGGTCTATTATATTATATTAAACATATATATACTAAACTACTACTTATATATAGTGTTGTGGGCAGAATGGCAGAGTTCTGCCAACGGCTTTGGCAATACCAGTTTTGCCAGGCAGATGGCAGAAGGTTCTCAATAGTGTACTGGCAGAACCTGGCAGAACCTGGCAGAACCACAACAGTCGTGGAGAGTGATCTTTTAAAGTTAACATTAACTGTGCAGTTGTTTGACCCGAATAAAGTTAAATCATGCCATTGGAACTTGTGTTATTGCTTGTCCCAAATTATGTCGAACATTGGGGGCCGCCCTGTTGCTTCATTCATCGCCAACAACTTTGAGCGCTTAGGAAAAGTTTCTAACAACTCCAATCATTATTTTTGGAAGTGTAAGCACTGTGGTGATAGTGACGACTCTCCCGGTGGACATATCCAAGGCTGTGACAACCTCCTTCCCAACCATATCGCAAACAAGTGCACAAAAGTCAATTCTGCTCTTCGCCAACAAGCATGTTCTTTCATCATAAAAAAGACAGGCAATACTGCAACATCAGACACCATCCTCGCAGGTAGTTCCCAGTCTACCGCCGCAAGTGATGTCATCACTAGCACTGTCATTCCGGACGACTTTTTTCAGATCTCGGGACAACACAGTCTGCGAAGCGCTGCAATCTGTCAGTCGAAACGTTCGAAACTCTAGGAAAAATTCGTGCAAACCTTCGTTATCTCCGTGACAAGAAAGCTACCGAAGCCAATAAGTCCACTCGTTGTCGCCATGCCCATATGCACACCCGTGAAGAGACTGGCATTGATCTCAAAGTCGCGCGTGACCTTGAGGAAAACTTTGCCTGGGTGCCACCGCTTGCTGCCAAGCCTGCACATTTAGACGACAGCTTAGCTGGTCCAGAAAGTATCTTACCTGATGATGTGGCTGCTGAATTTGCTGCCTTCGAGGGGCGAGCAAGGGAGGAAACATTCGAAAGTGTTGATGGAAAGGAAGTGTTGGAAGGGCGTGCCTTTGATTTCAAGGAGCTGCTCCGTGTTGACCAAGGGATCATACCATGAGCAGCCGCAGACGAGATCAATGTTGTGGACCATGATGGTGATGGTGAAGACAGTTGGGACGAGCAAATGATGATAGAGTCATTGGGGTTGTCATTTGAGTAGCGCTACATGTGTAATGGACTGCTTGTTGACTCAGAAGTTCTGCCATCCGGCAGAACTGGCAGTTTTGCCGGTTCTGCCGGTTCTACCCAGCAAAACAAACTTGAAACAGTTCTGCCCCCCACACTACTTATATATAAAGGGGGAGCTATTGTGGTGTGGTGGTGAAGCAGAAATGTGGCGGGAAGGGTGTGGGAATAATTGATTGATATTGTGGGGTGACCAAATTGAGCAATGTTTTGGGTGTTGTGGGGAAATTCCCACAGTAGGTGGCTGAAAATGGACGCTCCACGAGTAGGCGAGCTCGCGAGCCAACGAACATTGAGCTAGGGCTTTGTAAGCGCACGTGTTCTTGACAGCTCTCGCACTTGCATAGATCTGGTCTGTGCGCACTCATACATAAGTGCGCATCCTTCGATAAGATCATCAATTCCTTTTTGCCTCGTGCCCTCATCTCCCAGCTCTCAGCACGAGTCTTTGTTCATAATTTTCACCGATCACCAATTGTTTCAGTCTTCTCATCAAATGACTACTTCTAATCCTCCTGCAGGCAGATCTATATGCACCCGTGATCAGATCATCGCGGATAACGCGGCCATCACCGCGAGAAATGTCTTACGCCTCGCTCATCGTGACAAAGGCAAGACCGACATTGAAAGCGATGAGGCCTTATTACCTCTGCCCGTCATCCCTACAGTTACGTTTTCCAATGTTCCCCCCACTAACCAAAGCACTCCCACCGCAGCCAACCTTGCTTCATCCTCCGCACAACCAGGAACATGTCCCCTCACACCAGTCCAACATAACCCACCCCCTAATATTAATGTGAATTCCATCATGGCTGCATTCTCCAACCTGTCGCCTACCAAACTCGCTAACCTACATGCTGCCATTTTTAATCCCACCCCCCCAATCACCAACACTGCAATACCTCCAGTCACCCCTAGCACAACCTCCACGTCTTCCGCCACTAATACCTCCACGTCTACCACCAATACCTCTCAGAACCTCCTGTTTGACATCAACAACGAACACATTTCTTCCAACTCCATCTCAGACACTTACAGAATCCACACGTACATTGTAGAACTAGCCAAGAACCACCAGCACATCCCCCTGTCCATACTAACTACAAAGATTACCTCATGTCTCTTCCTCGAATCATCCTCTCTCAAGTTCCTTACGCATTATACCTCACATCACAACTCCGCACCCACAAAGTGCCACATCATTGATGTCTCACAATTCCCTGCAGAAACATCCATCTCCATTGCAGAGTGGCACGAGGCCTGGGCACGCTTCCTCAAGCTGCTCGCAGACTATGCCTCCCCCAAAATCCACGACTGGTAGTCTAACCACTACAAAGAACTCTGTGAACACCCTGACTTCGAGGGCCATTGGTTGGCCATTCTGGCCTTCAACATTGAACAGCACGCTTCCTACATTGCAGACCCCCAACCACTTGACGAAGCTAAGTACCACCGTCAGTTCGAGAGCATTAAAACTCGCGTCCTCAGAGAAGAATGTCTCAAGGAGGTTCGGGACGCTGCCACATCCCAACTCAAATCTCACTGTTACGAGCCTTACCCCTCCCGCGACTCCTCTTCTCGCAAACCCCCTTCCACAGACAAGTCCTTTCAAAGCTCCCCAAAACTCGACAACGACCGCCTTCCCCCAATCTGTCTCTGCTGTGGAAACCTCGGTCACACTTTTCCCAATTGCACCTCCAATACAACGCCATCGGGTGCGACACCACACTCGAAGGTCGTCAACAAACAACTCACCTCCTGTGCCTCTCCCGACACCAAATTCTGTGTCGACTTCAACATCTACTGCAACGGGAAACGAGTCTGCACCAGACGTGTCCACCGAGGTGGCGAAATCCACGCATGTTCCCTCTGCGGATCCACAGACCACGGCGCTTGCAGTCGCAAGTGCCTGGGGAATTAACCCCCTCCTCATTCCTTACTCTCATTGGGAAATGGACCCCATTTCTATTCCTGTACCTCTACGACATGTATATTTAGACAACCTTCGCATCATTCCCACTGCATATGATCTCGACGCCAACTTCTCAAAGATTCTCATGCCTTACGTTGCTGACCAACTCGAACTCTTTCTTCACAATGCCAACCTTCTTGATGCATATCCACAGCTCCCCGATAAAATCAAATACGGCTTCCCTCTTGGCAATCTCAAACCCATTGATGTAACTTACGCCCCTCCTAATCTGCCTAGCGCACTCGAGCACAATCAACTTATTCAAGATTACATTAATGCCGAACTTTCCCTTGGACGTTTTTTGGGTCCCTACACCCAAGCCACCTTAGAGGCTAAAATCGGTCCCTTTCGCTCTTCCCCCCTCCAAGTTGCTGTCAAAGAAGAAGCTCCTGGTCAACCCAAAAAATTCCACGTATGTCACAATCTCTCCTTCAAAGGCCCTTCAGGCCGCTCGATCAATGATGAGATCGACGCCAAAGACTTTCCTACCCGATGGGGCACAGCCCAACTAGTCGCCGACTTCGTAAGTCCTTCCCTCGTGCTCTCCTGCACCCTCTCCATTTCCGCGTTCCCCCTCCTGCTACCCCATCGGGCTTATGACCTCATGGCACCCACCGCTGAGGAATTCGCACGTTGGGGGCAGCCAAACACATGTCTCCCTCATGGGGAGGTCCTTTTATACCTCCCCTCCTCCATTCTCCCTTCTTCGGTCCTCCTTTCTCCCTAGACCCAATCCGAGGTCTTTCTCCTCACTCCTCCGAGTCTCCATACTCACCACCTCTCCCAGGTCTCCACCGCCCCTCCTGGCACGCAAGCTGCTTCGCTTGACGTCGAAGGTGCCTACCGCACCATTCCCATCCTCCCAGACCACAAACACTATCTCGTGGTACGTTATCACGATCTATTTTTCATAGATCATAACCTACCTTTCGGTGCTGCCTCAGCAGCTGGCCTCCAAGGCGAAGTCGCCGATGCCACTCAAGACATCTGGGAACACGCACACATCGGTCCATCCTGGAAATGGGTGGACGACTTCTTCGTCATTCACACTCCTGACCCCAATGGCTCCTTCATTGGTATCTCCAACGGCACTACATATCGCTATCGTTACGATCTCCATTCCGCCAAAGCATACATCGGCCCTATCAATATCCCTTGGCATCCTAGCAAGGGCGCCGACTTCGGTGACATACGTGACTACATTGGTTACACCTTCAACTTCCCCAACCGATCTGTCACACTTCCCGAACCTAAGCGTCTCAAATACGCATTTCGTCTCCACACCTTCCTCGAATCCTTTCGCAACAAACAAGTTCCCAAACGCGAGGCAGAGAAGATCGCGGGCACGCTCACCCATTGTGCATTTGTTTTCCTCCACGGTCGCTCATACCTATCAAACCTCTACCATTGGATCGCCGATTACCCCAACGAATTCACTCCACGCTTCATGTGTTCTGCGGTCAGATCAGACCTGGAATGGTGGCTCCATCTGCTCAATTCCCAACACCCTCCCCGTTCCCTCCGTCCTCACCCTCCCACCCGTGATTACAACATCTGGGTGGATGCCTCCACCGGGTCTGGCGTTGGTGTTCTTTGGAATGGCCTTTGGGACATGTGGCCCACCCTTGCAGGATGGCGTGAACCCATTGGTCATGATATCAGGTGGTTGGAAACTGTTGCCATTGAACTCGCGATCCACGTCTCCTCTTTATTCGGCATCTCTGATGCCAACATTCTCATACGTAGCGATAACGAGGGTGTCATTGGCGCCTTCAATAAAGGTCGCTGTTCCAACCTTGCATCCAACATGTCCATCAGACGTTCAGAAGAGATCCTCAGATCCACCAATATCTCCATCTCCCTCATATATGTCAACACGAGTATCAACCTCGCAGATCCAATTTCACGGCACATACTCCCTCCACCCTCACAACGCATTCCTTTCTGCACCCCCCTCCCAAAAGACCTTGAACCCTTCCTCACTCATGTCCAATCCGCATAACACTCCTGACGAGGCAGCGACAGAACTCTCACGACTCTCTCTCCATGGTATACATGAGACGGCAGTCATACGTCCAGACGGACGTGTCCGTATCCCACGTCCTCCTCGCAAAGACACCAGTATCACACCCTCCCATCACCGTCCCCATGTTCTCGCAAGCGAGCATGTCCTTCTCTGGACGACTCCACACGGGTTAAACTTCCAAAACGACCTCATCCTCCGTTTTCCCGATTCCGTCGTCCTCAAGATCTTTCTAGTCATGATCCAATCCCTAGACGAGGACACGCGCAGCAATTATGGTGCTGGCCTCCTCTGCTTCACTCAATTTTGCGACCAACATCGCGTCCCAGAATCAGAATGTATGCCTGCCTCCTCCGACCTTCTTGTGGCTTTCCTTGCCAATGCAGCGGGCACTATCTCCAGCAGTGCAGCCAACACGTGGATGGCAGGTCTTCACTACTGGCACTCCATCAATGGTGCAGACTGGCACGGGGCAGACTCAGACGTTCTTCGTCACATCCGTCGAGGTCTCTCCAAGCTCACTCCCCCCAGTTCCAAGTGTACCAAGTGTCCGCCCGTCACACTGGCAGCCCTCACACAATTGGCGAGGGGGCTTGATCTCAGCAACTCCTTGGACATCGCAGTATTCGCAACTGCCGCCGTAGCCTTTTGGGCATGCTGTCGGTACGTATCTCCTTCTCCCCCCACTCCCCACCTAAGGTCTTTCCACAGCCTTGGTGAACTTGTCATCCCAGGTCCCAACGCCTTTGATTCTGTCAAGCATGTCACTCGTTCCATTTTACCTATCGCAGTGCACGAATCCAACAACGTACGTTATACTACACTCCGCATCCCCTGGTCTAAGACCACAGGTATTGAAGGCGCCTCCATCAGCATTACAGGACGCAACCATCTCACATGTCCTCTCAATGCTCTCGTGCACCATCTGCAAAGCAACCTCGACATCCCGTCGCACGCCCCGTTATTTTCATTTGAAACGGCCATGGGCCCCTGGTCCCCTCTCACCAAGCCATGGTTTCTCAAGTGTTGCAACGAAGTGTGGGTCACTGTGGGACATCCCAGTATGCCCGGTCATGCCTTCTGCATCGGAGGCACCACAGAGCTGCTATTAGAAGGTATCCCACCTGACATGGTCGCCATGCAGTGACGTTGGAAATCACGCGCATTCATGACTACTGGTGTGAAGTTGACTCCATTCTCCCAATTTACATATCCGATGCCATCAATTCTCTGCTTGCTATAGCCCGTTTACGATCATCCATGCAGGACTACCAACGCGCCCATTCCATCCCTTCCACTGCATTATCTCATGTATAACTTTCCACTTTGTACTCATGCCTTTGCCAATAACATTTGTTCTTGTCCGTTCACGTCTCGTGTTGTGTGGGGTTCGGGTTCCTTGAAGAGGAACTCGACTCGTATTCGAGCCGTGCTCGTATCATGGTGTGGTCTCGTTTTTTCCTCTTCACTGTCTGAACTTCCCCTCATATCGCATCTCGAGACTAACCTTTGCACGCTCAGAAGGTTTGGTTTTTCCACACGCCCGGCTTTTTCTGAAAATCATTCATCGTTCCTAACGCCGGGCCAAACCCTTTCAGATCGCGTCCTCAGCCGCGGTCTGGCAAGCCAGACCTTCCCCACCGACTACGAAGGCGAAGCCTTCGTAGTCCAAACCCAATGTTCCTCTAACGTCGTCTCCAATCCCGCTCCTACTGACCTCATCTTCCACACCCAAACCCATCTCACTCAACACTCATTCCCGCGCAAGTGCAACATCTCAATCACTCGGTCTCCCACCTCACATACACGATCCCATCACTTCTCACGCTGTCACATTAACGTAGCATACATACAAAGCTGCGAAATTCTGATGACCAAATTGAGGGCTGTGGGGAAGTTCCCACGGTAGGTGGCTCAAAATGCGAAAATATCAGAATGTGGGAATAATGAAGAAGAAATTCCCACAGTAGGTGGCTCAAAATGCGAAAATATCAGGTGTGGGAATAATGTAGAGGTAATTCCCACAGTAAGGGGCTGAAAATACAGAAAATGCAAAAGTATTAGGTGTGGGAATAATGTAGAGGAAATTCCTACAGTAGGTGGCTCAAAGTGCGAAATTAGGGTGTTCAAAGATCCAATGAATCTGTCAATTCATCCGAGGTACTTACCATATAATTAGGTCAAACCTTACAACCAGGGGTGAGTGTGGGCCACTGGCCAGAATGATTCCCAGTGTGTCTGGTTGATCAGTTGGCTGACAACACTGTTATGTCACCTGCGTGAATCGACTCTCAACAGAAACCCTCACACTCATCGCAGAACTCAATATGTATGTTCACGAATAGCATGCACAAAACAATGTTGTCAAGAAGCGGCTTAAGATGCGGAAGGAAATTCAAGGAATTGAAGTTCTGGAGTTGCCTCAAGTTGATGATGTCCTCGCTGAATAGATTTATTACTGATTTCATGTGCCATACAATGTACATCGTGTACCGTACTGAGAATACCAATAGCGAATATGTTGTAGCAGATGATATGTAGAAGGGAATATGTTGCAAGTCTTTCAATGTTCATTCACTCTTTCTTCATCATCCAATCATAAGTGATTATATAATATCCAGACAGGACTTCTGGCACTGAACAGGTTCAGTTTACTTGCATTCATGGGAAATTTATTGCTGAATGTACGCTAACTCTAATAAATGTTCATTGACTGGCAGAACACTGCAAGGAACTCACCTCTAATCTTCAAGGATGAAACACTGGTGCTAGAGGTGACACCTACATCATCAATGGTATTATATTTGATTTGCAGCCCTGATAAGATATGTCTTGCCAGTGCCTTTGACTGCTTGAATATAATTATAACATCTCAGAAACAGTACATACTAGCCCCACTAGTGATGAAGGCCCCTGTGCCATCCATGACTGTGGTGAATATTTTTTTCTGCTCAGAGTTTAGAGTAGAGATATTGGCCTGTAGAAGGTTGAGGTTTGCACAATGTAGATACTGTGCTATTGGTGCTTGGCCAGTTGGATAGTGACCAAGAGGCTGACACGCAGGAGTCATAAAGGTCGTTTAATGAGTGTTTGGGTATAATAGTGGCCAAGAAAGATGAAATCAAGCACATATAGTATGGTACTGCTCTGAGAGACTAGAAAGAGCGCATATACTAGGGGTAGTGATGATGTAATTTGTCATGTAGGGTAAAGGAAACTGAAGTAGACATGGTACAGATACCTACAGTACCAACTCACCTGCAATTCAGACATACACATTATCTCCTTGCCAGTGCATCCTTAGCCATCAGTGACCTTCATGGAGCGAAACTGCTAGATGTTGTCCAATTAGGTTGTTTACCTAGTATTACACATTTGTTTGTTATCCAATTGGACGGTGACAGGACCATGAGGTGTGTAGTGGTTCTCAAAGATGTTGGTCTGAACATATTATCCGCATCCCCAGGCTGTAAGTGACTAGGTAGATGCGCAAGTGCACCCAACCAATTGAGACTGTCATGACAGTGACGTCGACTTCAGCATGGGCAACAACTTTGAGGATGGTGGTTGAGGAAGAGGAGAAAATTACATAATGTCAGACAATACTTGTGTGTAGGGATCAGTGTTGCATGTACCATAATCCGTGAGAATAACATGTCATGGGAATTTATCATGTGATGTTGACTACCATACCACAGCTGTCATAAGGAAGCAAGAAGTTGAGATGGGGCAGGTCTGCATTGACGAGGTATCCTCTCACCTCATGTCCTGGTTATTATCTTGAAAGATCAGGAAAGGTGGGCTAGGTCAGCAACTAGATTCTGGATGCACAGATTATTTAGGACAAATGTATTGGCATAATAATGGTGATATTCCTTTACAATGTGATGACCTTATTCTTTGAATCAGATTTAATAACAATGAGAAACCAAGGGCACAACACACTATGAAAAATTAGGACACAATAAAGCATTATGCATTACATGAAAATTACTGCATGTAAACTGATCTACTCTAAAAGTACAACACAGGAGTCCATCTAACTATTGCATACAGAGTGTCTGACTGGGGCCTATCCGACAACAATCATAAAGTACATACTGACAACTGAAGGTTCATGAGAGCCATGCGAGTCCATGATGAGTACACTATAAGCCCATCTTCTTGTTTGCCTCCGCCAGCGCATCTGCCCATTTGATATCCAAAAAACTCTTGAAGATACAATGCAAAAGCAATCAAGAGGTCATAGATGTTCGGGGTAGCTCTGGTGGGGAGAGCCATGAGAGGCAATGCCTTGAAGAGCCAGAGGATGAAATTCTGAACAATGGTGTGGTAATTGTGCTTGCGAAGAACTCAAAATATGATATGTTGCACAGATGCACAAGATGAGATAAGGGATGCCGATCCAGATGTCCTGGAGAGCCTCGTTGTCACATGAACATTCCATAGGATGGTGAAAGGTCTTTGAATAGTGCTGTTGATGCTTTTGTGCATGGCCTTGCAGAAAATACTATTGTAATTAGTCATATTAATGAGATTGCAGTGATGGAGTTCCGAATGCTGGTTAATGATTGCTAGGGAAGCTTACCAAAAACTTGGCTATAGGGGAATAATGTTAGGGCATGGACATGTAAAAAACTGAGCGCCATTGATGGTGATTACTAGCTGTCGCTCACATAGTATTGTCTTTATGCACCTGCCTTTCATTGTGACTCGATGATAAGACCATGATCTTCCCTGGATCTCCAAAACATCTTGAATGAAGTTTGTTTGGTAGAAAATGCTGGGGTCTTACCATCATCACTCATCAAACCTGCAGTTCTTGTGCATCAGACCTGCACTTTTCCACACATCGAACTACCTGATTTCCTTTGGACCCAATGTTTTGACCTTCAAGGTATCTTTCTTCTAGCCTAAAGACACTAACAAGCATTCTTAATTAAAACAGCAGACCCCTGTAGGGTCAAACTATCCTAGGCTTAGCAAGACCCACATAGAAAAAGTTGCTATTTTATAGTAACCTTATATTTCTTCATTGTGATAATATTTTCTTTGCACTCAGCAGAGAAGTAGTTTCTACAATAGTACAGGCCTGATAATTTCATGTCTATTTCAAAGTGGATAGACTTGGAAAAATTATTTACATCATCAATTCAACAGTAGGAGCAATGTATTAGGAGATAATGACCATAGGACAAGATCTTCTTGTGTAATGTATCTCTCTCTTCTGATTATTTACCCTATATTAAAAGTTTTCCTCTAGAACTGGACCTTCAGGAGTGTATGGAATATATTTTTATGCATATTTATAGTATATTTATCACCTAGGTACTACAGTAAACCTATAGGCTCCTTCAATAGAAATAGAAATAGGAAAATTCATATTTTTGACATTTTTAATATCTTACCCTTGCACACATGGTCCAACATGCTGATATATCATCACTTGTACATACATATATATATTATACCAACAATCAGTTTAGAATAGGCCAGAGGTTTGAGCCAATGGGTATATTTGCTATTTTTACTGATAAGAAGCTTATATTATTAACATATCAAAATTTGATAGATATACTATAAATATGTATAGGAATAGACCCTCCATACTCCTTAAGGTTCAGTTCTAGAGAAACACTTTTCACAGGGGGAAGACCACCAGAAGAAAGGGATACATTACACAAGAAGATCTTGTCCTATGATCATTATCTTCTGATACAAAGGGGGATTTATTGTAGTGTAGTGGTGAAGCTGCAGTAAGGTGGGAAGAGTGTGGAAATAATTGATATTGCAGAGATTCCTAAAATGGGTGATATTTTAGGTGTTGTGGGGTAATTCCCACAGTAGGTGGTTAAAAGTGCAAATATATGGAGTGGGAGAATAATATAGCAAGGCCCTAATATGATATTCCCACAGTAGGTGGCCAAAAATACAGTTATCAGAGGTGTAAGCTGGTTATGGAAATTTCTTGACAGGATCATTTACTGATATATCAGCCCTATGGGCGATAGATATCTATGTACTATAGCAATTAATGTATCACACTTGTTCTACAACTATAAGTATGTAATATATCATTGATACAGTGTGGCCTGTGATGTTTTCCTGATGTTTTCATTAGTTATGACTTGTTCTGATGCTAAAGCATACCCAGCATGATGGGAAACAGAGTGGTAAATCTCATATATATATTTAGGGACTAATTACTATATGCCCATTCCTTGACTTGCTGTCATATACCGTACACTGAGCCCCTGAATCATATCCCATCTCTCCCAACAAACAATGTCCGGACCTCCGAAATGTAGCCAAGCTATACCTTAACCCTATCCCTACCCCTCGGCAGGATAACTCCGCATCCCAGTCTCCACCGGACATACCCCTCAGCAGGATCTGCCCTGTTTCCCATATACATCGGACATCCTATACGTCGGACGTCCTATGCATCGGTCCTCCTCCTGTATACCTCGGATCTCCTTTTCGTCGGACGTCCTATTCGTCGGATCCCACTCATGTCGTCCGCTCATCCACTCGTCCGCTCGTCCACTCGTCCGCTTGTCCACTCGTCCGCTCCTCCTGTATTCGTCAGACATCCTATATGTCAGACCCGCTCGGGTCCACTTAACCCCTAAGCATCGGACCCTAAACATCGGACCTACTCAGATCCTGAGTTTCGGACCCAGGTCCACTTAACCCCTAAAACATCAGATCCACTTCACAGTTCATCTCCGTCCCCATTTCCTGTGATCCGCTTGACAGTTCATTTCCGGTCCTGCTCCTATTCTGTTACCCCATTTGTATAGTCCCCTTGTCCTAACCCCTATATGCCCGGATCTGTTTGACAGTTAATATCCGACTTCATTCTCGATCACACCTCCTATGCCCAGATCCATTCGATACTTCATCTCCGTCTCTGTTCCTGTATTATTTTCCTTGCGCCTGTCAGTTTAACCTTTCCGTATGTCCCTCTTGTTGACCCGGATCTCCGCCGACTCTGTCCCCGTCGCACGTGTCCATAGTATATAATACCTTGTAAACTCGTAGTAGTTTCCTCAGTTCGAATATCACCTTAGATTATCCTCATTCCTGTTTCCTCGGACCCGGATCCATTTCCATGGGCCCGGGTCCACTTCCCTGTCCAACCTCTGCGTCCTGGGATTGATTCCTCGGGCTATACTCCGCCTCTACCTTCGGGTAGTCTACCTCTGTCAGTTTCTACTCTGGACATTGTCTAGTGTAGTCTTACCTCTAGCTTCTGTCCCTTTGGACATCCTGTCCTCTCGGACTTCCTGTCCTTCTGTCCTTTCGGACATCCTGTCCTCTCAGACTTCCTGTCCTTCTGTCCCCTCGGACTTCCTGTCTTTCCATCCTTACACCTGTCTGTTTCTGTCCCCCATGTCCGCCGGACTAAAGCCCCTATTCTCCGGGTGTACTAAGCCCCTATTGTCCGGCGGACTAATCCTCTTATGTCGGCCGGACTAACCCTCCTTACGTCGGCCGACGAACCCCCTTTGTGTCGGCCGGACTAATCCTCTTATGTCAGCCGGACTAACCCTATGATCGGCCGGACTAATCCTCTTATGTCGGCCGGACTAACCCTCCTTACGTCGGCCGACGAACCCCCTTTATGTCGGCTGGACTAATCCTCTTATGTCAGCCGGACTAACCCCCCCTACGTCGGCCGACGAACCCTCCTTACGTCGGCCGGACTAACCCCCTGAACATCGGCCTGACTCTTCCTCGAAAAGCCTACCAGACTTGTCCCCTTGAAGTCCACCGGGATTCATCATCCTCCCTCGGACTTTGTTTCTAGCCTTCGGAAATTAAGGGCACGTACTCGGGTAAGGGGCGCAGCGCACGAGCTGAAGCCAAGCCCTTCGGATCCGCCCTTTGAGCACGGTCTTAACACTTGCTTATCAAATTTGATGTTGTATCTTGTAGTTATGAATTGAGCAGTTAAGTTTGGAATACAGTATTCTAATGTAGTTCAGTTCAATGCATGCCATACTCACTACATCAACCTTATCTGTGTCTTTTACTGTCTGCCCTGATCATGGCCAGTGCTAGTTCTTCAATAGGATAAATCAAAGCTACATTTTCCAACTGTGCTGAAACAGTCACATTTGACACATCAAAGGCACTCTAAGTCCTTGGAACTACTACTATAAAACAAGCAATAGAATTTGTTAAACCAAGTCTAGCATTGGTGATCACTGACTCTCACCATTAGGATAAGAAGGAGAAGCTAGAGATAAAATCACTGGAAATGTTTACTTCTAACCTAGAGCCTACAAGTCCATTCTTGGCTAAACAACAATGACCAGCTAAGTAATAATGACCACTAGCGCTCACTGACTACATATCATAGCCACTAATAAACTAGGCAAGAGGACACTCACCACCATATTTACTCTGACATGCAATGCAGACAGCTAGATACAAGATTTTTCAGAGCACTTGATACATGCAGAGAAGAAATATGAGCTCCTACATGCACTAAACAGCAAGCTTACTGTGGATGTAAAGGAGGCATAAGCCAAGCCTAAAAAGGTATGCAGCTGGTAATGAGTTCGAAGGGGAATGCTAAGTGGACAGTGTCTGTTGAAAACTTCAACAAACCAACAAACCAAAAATGCTACTGGTCAATAGTTTATGAAGGGTAAATAACACCACGGTTTGGTGTTGAGACCCAGGGTGTCATTTGCATAAGTCATCATTCCCAGTGAAAAGTCACAAGAGCGACAGTGAGGACCAGCGAGTCTGAGCGCTCCTTGAATTTGGCTCGCTGGGGCTCTATATAGTAGCCATTTTCTCGCTCACCCTATATTTGCAGATCTTTGATATTGTCAGAAAGAGCCTCAGAGAGCTCGGATTGGAAGCAATTCTGAGGTTCACTAGGGCTCTCTAGTCCTAGATTAGCAAACTAACTGGAGAGAGTGGCATAGAGCAAGTACAAAATGTATTCATAGCAGTATGTATCTGTTCCTAGCTAGTACTATGACTACATGGATGCAAGCAAGAATAACAATATGAATGCGAGTGAGAATAGCAGCGAGGATGCGAGTGAGAATAGCAGTGAGGATGCGAGTGAGGATAACAATATGATGAATGCGAGCGAGGAAAGGCAGCAGGAACTATTGGAACAAACACAATAACACAAATTTCAACGGGAAGGAGACTACTCGATGGTGTCATCATCTGCTAACATTGTGGCCACAATGGGACCGAGGGAAGTGGATGCGCTTGATTTAGCCTATGAAACCATATTAGATAGCTGCTTTAGAAATAAAAACACCTGCCCATGCCCCCTTAGCCTTCTTAGAATGATCTTTGTAGTCCTAATAGATGTGGATAAGCAAGCTACACAGTAGTAGGACAACAGGAACTTACTTGTCTATCCCCACCTGCCAACAAAGTCCAATATATAGAAAACTCGCCCACAGTTATCTTTTTGTGAGTCTTCTTCCATTCGATGCCACATAAATTTCTGTGGAAAGATATTCCGAGTCAGTAATTGAGTGAGTAATGAAGACACAACCCACCATGCAGTGTGAAATTTATTCGGACAGCATTCAGCTTGAAGATTGGTTCCATTCTGTCCATTTTTGGTGACCAGCAGTGTGTTTGCGACAGCAGCCTGAGTTGACGGCATGGAGTCGAGTTCTGTGGCATCTGTTGCTGTCATTGTTGCACAGAGTTGGTGGAGAAACATGAGCTGGGATGCCGATGAATGAGGGACAATATCTTCATTGTTGTCGGACACGCTGGTCTTCTCAAGGTGTTCGGTGATATCAGCAGATGACGAGGCCTGGGAGACTGTCAGTGGGGTGCAAGTGTCCTGTCCAAATCTATTGTCGAGCGCACTAACAAGTTGATTAACTCAAGTCAGAAACTTAAATTTCATCAAATGTAGACTCGGATCCACTTACCCTGAGAGGTGGAAGGATACTAGTACTGCTTGTTATCAATTCTTTGACATTCACATCATGGTTAGGTCCTCGCTTGTCCACTGATGACGAGTGAGTAGTGTGATCATTGTTGAATGTGTTGTGTTTGATGATGGGTGCACTGAATAATGTTGGTCGAGGAGGCAAAGACGTTGAAGATATTAACCGTGGCAATTTCACCTTTGAGTTAACAAAGGAAGCATGCAGCTTTTTCTCCATGAGCAGAGGCTTCGGTGCTGTCAACGACAAGGGCATTTATTGGATGATGGGGCAACTTCTTGCTTAACTAACATATCCACTACTTCCTGCTTCACGTGCGTAGTTGCTTCTGGGATTCGTGGGCGGTCACTCCATTGTGAATAGTGCTGGATGGCGAGGAGGTTTGCTTTCCAGTGACCATGGCACAAGCAAAGTTCAATAAATTTTGTGCACATCAAATGGAAGAAATTGTCTGCAGCAAGAGAATTGATCTTCGTCCAGGTCACCGGAGCATGGCCATAATGTCGGAGTGTATGCCAGAGTTGGTGCTGGTATTCCTGCATCTCCTGCTGGAGCTTTTGGGAGCAAACCATGCCTTCCGTGTTTCCTAGAGTCATTGTTAGACTCGGTCTGCAAGGTACCACAACCATTATCATAGTCATTAGTGTATTTGGCATGATCCCAGTACACAACACTAGGATAATCATCTTGGTTGAGGATAGCATAAGTGTCGGTGTTAACTGCTACTTGGACAACCATGAAAAAGGGGTCTGAGACTGAAACAGGTGGCGAAGGGGTTCTCATTACAGCGGAAGAAGAGTTGAGGCGATCAAGAAGTTTATCGTACATAATTCTAAAAGGATTAAATCGTACATATCAAATTGAGATGACAAAGCACCTACTTTGAATTTGCAACTTCTCCTTCCAGTTGGTTGATTTTTGCCTCGAGCTGCTGGTTTTGAGATTCTAACAGTGCATTATTCTCTTTTTGCACTCGAAGTTCACACATATAAGCAGTATGCGAAGGCTGGTAGTAAGAATCAGAACTTTGCGATGATGAACTATCTCCGGTCATGGAACACTTGTTGTGAGAATAGTAGTCCTGTCTAGCAAGTCAGTATTTGAGCTTGAGGAACATACAAAATGACTACATACATCACAGAATGATCCCAGCCCAACGTCTAGGCTCATTCAACCTGAGGCATACCCTGATGACTCTGATGAATAGTCATATTCATATTCTCCTTGTCAGTAAGACTTGATATTATTCTCATCAAATGTATAGGAGGGTTGCGAAGAAGTATAGTTGGTGGGCATATGCAGCAAGGGCTGCCTTTCGTTGTTGTAGTGCCTTGACTCAGAGGACATTGTGGTCGGGCATGAAGTATACCATGCAGTAGCTTACATCAGCGCCTCGATCTAAGTCCTTCCCTTTCTCTGCCGCATGCATACACAAGCTTGACACCAACACTCACATTGGACCACACGGTGCACTACAATCACCAACAGAATGAGCAATCTTGATGCCAACGTTTTTGACTGCAACTGCAGCACACATACTGACACTGGCAACACTCAACTTCCTGTCTTCGAGTTGCCTTGCACCTCTGAGAGCACTTTTGAGAACAGCATTTGGATCAGACAGCTGTCGACATTACTCGCAATACTACCAGTGTTGGAAATATCACCCTGATGGATATCTTTGGGGTCACACCAGATCACAATATGTACACAGTTTGGTTTACTCTGAACTCACTCAAGGAACAGGTAAGAACTTCATTTTCCTGCACCAGCTTCAATTAAAATACCTTTATTGCCAGACTGCTGGATATATGCATTCAAAATCAGCTTACTTTTATTAGGTCTTTGTGCACAGACAATCCAGAGGTAGCTGGCAGGGTATACTGTACTGAGAAAGTCAGAATTCTCACTGTTCGCAATGATCCCAGCCTCTTCAACAGCCAGGGATGACGAAATAGACTACCACCTATTATATGACAAGTCCTGCTGCATTGTGTCATCAATGCAAGGGAAGAGTGACTGATTGAGTAGGTGCTTTTCCTCATGCTTTTTGCTTTTTTGTGGACTTTGTCGTGCTGCGCACATGTATTACTATGCATTGCAAGTTTCTTTATACCTGTTGCTCCCGAACATGTACATTATTGCTGTCTGTATTTGAATCATTGTCCTCAAGACCATCTTCAGGATCGTGAACATAACCTCCCATGTCTGCCACATCTCAACCAGGTTTCTCAACAACGAAATATTGGTTTTGTCCTCGAAGTGAATGTGGGACCATTGCGACAACGGCTTTGATACATCTGACTGGAATGACTGCAAGTGCACCCTCGCCGTGATACTCACATGACCACACAGTGAATGATGAAGATTCCAGGAGTGCAGGATCAGGGGGACCGTAGACGGAAACTACTGCAAGAGCTACAGGTGGTTGACCAGATTCCAGATGGGCTTCGAAGAAGTAGAGTACTGCAGTAAAGCACAGACTACCATCAATGTTGAGCTAATAAAATGTTATTTTGACGAAACAAATCTGCGTGTATCTGTACCTTTACATTGCGTGATCATTGTGCATTGGGGCAAGTTTCTCTGAGGCACCAAACTGAACAGTTAATTTGACCATTTGGAAGTTGTAATCGTGCCCAGCAACAATCATGAAAGCAGCCATCAGCACGAAAATATGTAAATTCTAGAGATCGGGGGGATGCAGCAATTTCCAGGTACTCTTGAATTGCCCAACCCTCCAAGACTGTGCTGTCATGATGAGACCGTTCATGTTTGCTTTTGAGGATGTACCTGCTACCCGTATCACAAGATGACTTAGAGAGTGGGTTGCTTGATGCATGGTCCAGGTGTCATATCCCGTACCTGAACCTTCTCGTCCAGTCTGGTCCACCCGGTTCTTCAAGCCCGGTCTAGAATTCATTTCCCCTGAGTCCCCATTCATACGCACTTATTCTGCCCCTATATGCCCGGATCCTTCTGTTAGTCTATTCATTTCCGATTCATTTAACCTGTTCCCTTTGTTCCATTTAATATCCGGCTCCATTCTTGATCATCCACAGTATGTTCATTTCCCTAAGTACATTTCTTACATAGCCTTATGTTCCAGAGACAGCGCTTTGGCCGGATACCCATTGGAAGTACTACAGTATATAAACCCTCTGTAACCTGTAGTATTTCCTCAGTTCGAATCTTATCTTAGACTCTGTTCATTCCTTGTGTTCTCTTGGCTCTTGGGATTATCATCCTAGTCCGATCCTCCGAGCCTCAGGATTATATCCCTAAGGCTAAATCACTCTGCCTCTACCTTCGGGTGGTCCGTACCTTGTTAGTTTCTACCTGGACTTAGTTCTTGGTAGTTTTACTTCTCTCATCCGGCCTAACCATATTGCCTCGGCTGGCGATATCTATCCCCGTAAATGAGGGGCATGTACTCAGGTAAAGGGTGCAGTGCATGAGCTGAAGCCAAGCCCCTCTGGTCCGACCCGTTGAACATGGTCTTAACACCAGGCAAGGGAAGATTACAAGTAGGGCATTGTGAATTGCTTGATGGAAGACTCACTCGGCAAGATTTGCATAGGGGTTTGAAGGTTGGCGTATCTGAGACATGAGGTATCCTAGAGCACATTCCATGTCCATTGTGATGCGCAAATTAGAGGAGCTTTTCTCTCAACCTCTCGGGGATAGTGGCCAATAGCATGGATGCTTTGACAGACCACGTGAATTTGGTCAGGACGACACCGATAGTATAGCACCTTGAACTCCTTCCTAAACTTGACAATGCACCACTGAGCCGTGCGAAGTTCAACTCAACTAGTCAAGTGCTGTGATAAAAGTCGAATAGCATGTACAAGCTTGCAGAAATTGTGCCAATAAGGGTCTGGAAGGATGTTGTGTAATAGTGCAGGACATAGACCCCATAGTTACAATGTGAACTCCCAGGCTTTATAGTGACTGTTAATTTTTTCTGCGGGATGTTGAGGGGGACAGTTGAAGGAGCCGGGGAGATGTGGTGTGGTTTCAGTGACCTCCTTCCTGTGGTCGGTCCATACATCTCCGGTAAGAACAGCCCATTTCCATGAGTTCTTGTCATCTTCTGAGTCCCAATCGAAGGTTCCACACCAAAGAGGAATAAGCAGGTCAGGCAGATTAAGAGATGCCAAGTGCATTATATCAGATACAAAGCATCTGGGGACACAAATGATGTGATTTTTGGGGAACCCAAGAAAGATAGTCGGTTTCAAAATCCCCGTCTCCAACCATTGTTTATGGTACTGTGCCTTGGTGGGGGAGAGAAGGACATGGACAAGGTTTCACCAATATATTTCGCTAGAGCAGCTTCCAAGCTTCGCAGTATCTACGTCTGGGTGATCTGAACCATCAACGTCAAAATTGTCCGGTCTTGTAAGGACGGGGTAGTAGTGTGGTGCGCCAGCTTTGTGTTGCCCTTTGAGGCCACAGTATAGTCGGCAGCCGTTCTTGCCATAATGCCCTACCAGACCATTTAAGTAAGCAAGGCCAGGGCCATCAGTGGTGCCAAGGGCTAGGAAGGGGTGCGAGATATACATCAAGTTGCGATGAGCGTCCCAGATTGTAAAACCTTTGTGCATGAGTGCTAAAAGATGGTGGAAGCTAGGGAATAAGAACGAGTCAAGATTTTGGGGTTTACAAGGGCTGTGGACAATAATGGCTGGGAGAACATAGCGCTTCTTGTAGCGCATCTCGGGTGAACGGTCAAAAATTACCCAGATCCCAACCCAGCAGTCTGACATTTTGCTTTCATACAACTGCGCGCCATCGATGGACATCATGAGGACAGTGTCCTTGGGCTTAATCCTCCCATCTGCAACAGACTCCAGGTAATCAGATCTGTCTAGAAAACCGTCCCATTGTTCTTTGTGACTGTTAGTTTCTGCGAGCTCCGTGAATATGTTCTGGGTGTAGAGGTCATGATACCACATCTCCTCGGCACTTTTTGGGTCACAAATGAGAGCTTGAATCTGCGGTCCAATGGGAATTGTTGGAAATTGGCACTGAGGTTCTTTCCTGGGTCCATCTTTGTAGCGTGGCTTGCCACACCCTGGGCAGTTGTCGCAGTTTGCGAAGGGACCTATGAATGTGTAACAAGAGTCAATACACATATTGTGCATCAAGGACTCAACCCTGCTCAGTTCAGCAACGAGTTTTTCAATAAGATAAAGAGAGGGAAAGTCCTTGCCCATGAGCTCCATGATAGTTTCGCCCTGTGACTCGTAGTCATGATCTGAGTGTGTAAGGTTGATATATGTCTTGATGGCAGCCCTTGTGATGGGATCATGTAATGACAGAGTGTATTGGGGAGGATTTCGAAGATGTTGAAGAGCATCTTCACCAAGGCCAATGCCAGGATCATCCAGCTTGGCACTTTGAAGGTCCAAGATCATAGCCAGCGAGGTACAGAGATCATTAAGCTGTATTTTGCTGTAGATGTCATTCATGAGCATGTCCTTGTCGACATCAAGGGGAGGAGGAGGATGTTCAAAATCATCACCATTTTCATTTGTATTGTCCACGTCAGGTTGTGGTTTGTTCTTGTTCTAATCAGTACATGGTGGGATTATTATTCTGTACACAATGATTAAAATAGTGTCATACCACAAGCTCTCTGTGCTCAGAAGTATTGCCTGCATCAGGTTGCAGTTCATTTTCATTCTAAGTAGTACACATATTGTTGTGAGTATACCATGCATGAGAAAGATACAATCTGCCTTACCAGCGGAAGTGCCTGGAATAGATCTGGCTGATGGACAGCTCCAGGGTCTGGGGAAACAGGACTGTCTTGACGAGTAAGTACCATGTGAGGTGTCGTCCACCCCACCGGTGGGCCCGTGTGGTATATCTATGGTTTGTCAGAGCTGCTGGACTGATATATGTGCCCATGTGTTGGGACCACGGAAATTGGTGTGATAGCGCCATTGTGAACATGTTACATCTTGTAGAGTACCCCTGCATATGCGCAAACAGTCACAAGTATAGGTGCGGGCCATATGGATGAGATTGGGACAAGGTTAGAATTAACTCTGATTGCAACATATGTTTCGACTGCTTTAATTTGTTTTGGGCTGTTTCAACACGCCAAATCGGGCCAGGAAATATTTTGCAAAATGTTACAAAGTGTTATAATTTCTTTCCTTACACTTTCCATTTTCTCTCTGCAGCTATATCTGCCTCTTTTATATTTGGCTTTCTACTCCGACTCGCTGGACCTCACTGTCACTCTTAAACCCTCAAATTCCAAATATTTTCCTTATAACTCACTAAGATTTTGAACTATTGAAGTCATTAGACTATGGATAGACTGCCCCTGACAAGGACTACAACTTTGATTTTCATTGAAAAATTTCCCATGGTCAAGTTGCTTTCTTGAATACCTCAATTTTGAATTTTTCCTTATAACTCACTAGGATCTTAACCTATTGAAGTCATATTCCCACAGTCTACCAGGGTCACTCAATATCATAGCCACTAGTAGCTACTGTTATATTTATTAAAGTTGTTAAAGCCAGGAATAGAATGTGTGGTTGCTATAGAGCTCTTTATAGAACTATTATAGCCCAAAAAACTGTTATTGTTGGGCCCTTTTAGGCCACTGTCTATAAAGATATATATCGCAGAACAGGTTTTCCTGATGAAAGTCACTCCAGTGATAGTAAAGGTAAGACCAACATTATTATATAAGCAGTCCAAATGCCAACATGAGCAAGGAGATAGGGGTAAAGTAAGTAAGTGGTCACTACACCACTTCATTATCCACATCCACGCTGCCACCTAGCAATGTCCCTACATCCCCTCCATCAGCCACTATCGAGTCTGCAAGTGGTAAAAATTTTCAACCTGGTACATCAAAGAATGGAAGGTGTGTAATGTGTCAAAAGGCTACAGCAAGAGTTGACTTGGATTTAGGTCACTCTCTGTGTACTAGTGGTTGAAGAATGGCTTGTTGGCAGATTTCATGATTTACTGGTCTGGCTTGACAAAGGAGAAGCAGTTGGTACATACTCCGGTGATACATGTTTCATGGCACTGACATATGTGTTATATGCAAGGCTAATTCACTGAAGCTGGTAATGCAATTGACTCGCAGAGCATTTGCCCTGATGCGGCTGATTTCAATGTTTTTTCATGCAAGTTAGTGATAACATATGGAATGGCAATACCATTGACATCATCAGTAGATTCTCCTCCAGTGCCATATATGTCAGTACCTGATCTGAGTGGGGCTGGCGAGGACCTGGTGGGCAGCAAGCAGGAGACTGGTGATTGAATGTATGCTAGAAGCCACCCCCGGCTTCCATAATTCAGAGACTGATGATCAAATGTATGCTAGAAGCCCCTCACAGCTTACAAGTCCCATGGCTCACCGGATAATGTGGTTTTGTGATCTTTGGCAGAAATTACTAGAATTCAATCGAGACCTTCCTGATGAAGAGGGTGCTCTCATCCTTCAGAGCTTATATGGCCAAGGACAGTGTTCCTGAACTTCACCATAGACTGTCTGTTGCTCACTAAGTACAGTTGAACTTACTGCCTGGGCCACCACAAAAGCTAGCGAACGAGAGATCATCAAATTGTGCACCGCTCTCACCACACTTAGAAAAAACATACAATTTCTCACATGCCGCACCATGCTCTGGGGATATTATTATGATTTACACCAGTTAATGCACACAAAGAGCAAGTGGGAAGTGAATTTGTATCTATCTCAGGCTGTTAAGACCGTGCTCAAGGGGCAGATCCAAAGGGCTTGGCTTCAGCTCATGCGCTGCACCCCTTACCTGAGTATGTGCCCTTAATTTCCAAGGGCTAGAAACAAAGTCCGAGGGAGGATGATGAATCCCGGTGGACTTCGAGGGGACAAGTCTGGTAAGCTTTTCTGAGGAAGAGTTGGGCTGATGTTCAGGGGTTTGTCGGCCGACTTAAAGGGGATTCGTCCGGCTGACATAAGGAGATTAGTCCGGCTGACATAAGAGGATTAGTCCGCCAGACAATAGGGGCTTAGTCCGGCTGACATAAGAGGATTAGTCCGGCCGACGTAAAGGGGTTTGTCCGGCCGACGTAAAGGGGGTTTGTTGGCCGACGTAAGGAGGGTTTGTCGGCCGATCATAGGGTTAGTCCAGCTGACATAAAGGATTAGTCTGCCGGATAATAGGGGCTTTGGTCCAGCAGACATGGCGGACAGAACAGACAGGTGTAAGGACAGAAAGACAGGAAGTCCAAGAGGACAGGAGTAACAGGAAGTCCGAGGGGATGGGACAACAGGAAGTCTGAGAATGCGGAAGCTAGGGGTAAGACTACACTAGACAATGTCTAGAGTAGAAACTGACGGAGGTAGACTACCCTAAGGTAGAGAGGCAGAGATATAGCACAAGGAATCAATCCAAGGACTCAGAGGTTGGACAGGGAAGTGGACCTGGGCCCATGGAAATAGGTCCGGGTCCCAGGAAACAGCAATGAGGATAATCTAAGGTGATATTCGAACTGAGGCAACTACTATGAGTTTACAAGGTATTTGTCGGAAATTTCCCACCTCCATTGTAATGGCAGGTCATTGAGATATATATAACATTAAAATTGTAATGGTACCTCATTCCACGTGATATTATTACAAGATATTGTAATGTTTGCACAAGTTCTGACAATACACAAGCGACAACAAATGTCGGTGATAGAGTCTATTATAATGTTATTGAATCGGATCAGACCAATATAGATTTCTGAATCAGATTCTGCTGTTATTGCTTTTGATGCGTGATTCATCAAACCATCGGGACCAACATGGCAGAGGTGACCTGTGACCTCTGTAGTAAATAATTCAAGCCGCATGGTTTCAGGACGCATTGCACTGCCTGCGCAAAATGTGCGAGGGATTTTGAGGAGGACCAGCATCACATTGCAAACACTTATTACCAACCTTCAGGTGCGTTTCTGATTTTTTCTTGAGATGCCAAACATTAATGTGACAGTACACTCAATTGCAGTTAATGTCCCAATCGATGCACATCGTGCAGCTGAGCAAGCTGACAATCTGAATCAACAGGTGGAGAGTTTGAATGGATGCATCGCCAACGAGCCTGCCGTGGATGTCAAGGATGACCAGTGGATGGATGTCGAGGATGAAGGTGAGTGAATAAATCTTTGCCATTGACGTTATAACTAGCAGCAGCTGTTTTATAGATATTTATCGTGTGCCTTGACCATATGAACCATCTGTAGATGGCTCAGAGCATCAAGCAACTCGGCACAATGTTGATGATATTCAGACTGAATATCACCCCAACTCTGGAATCCCGGCGCAAACACGAACATTCTCGACGTTTCAGCGCAACATTTTGGAAGACCCACCAATTCCCGATACACAACCTTGGGTGCCATTTTGATCTCGCCTGGACTTCGAGGCAGCTGAACTTGCTCATGAAGCTGCCCTTAGCCAGCCTCAAATTGACCGGCTGATCAACCTTTTGCATTGCTCGAAGCAGGATTCAGAGTCTTTCACCCTCCGCAACTACAAAGATGTTCGGAACGCGTGGAGTGCTATCTCCCATCGTCTAACTCCAGTAAGTTCCTCTCGGTGTTTTGATTTAATTTATTTAACAAGGATGTTTTTATAGTTTAAAAAGCAAACCATCCAAGTGCCTTACGATGGGGTTGATCAACAATTCACCCTTTACTACCGGGACTTATGGGACTGGGCATGCGACCTTCTTCGAGACCCTTATATTGGCCCCCAATTTACCTTTGACACTCAACGCCTGTCGAAGTTTGATGGGAATACATTTGTGAGATTGATTGATGAGCCTTGGACTGCAGATAGGTTTTGGGAGGCTCTGTTAAGACCGTGTTCAACGGGTCGGACCGGAGAGGCTTAGCTTCAGCTCGTGCGCTGCACTCTTTACCCGAGTACGTGCCCCTAATTTACAGGGGGGTAGATATCGTCGGCTGAGGGGTATGGATGGGCCGGACGAAAGAGGGAAGGCTACCTGAGACTTCGTCCGGGTAGAAACTAACACGGGACGGACTACCTGAAGGTAGAGGCAGAGGGGTTTAGCCTTGGAGATATAATCCCGAGGCTCGGAGGATCGGACTAGGATGACAGTCCTAAGAGCCGAGGGAACACGAGGAATGAACTGAGTCTAAGATGATATTAGAACTGAGGAAATACTACAGGTTACAAAGGTTTTATATACTATAGTGTATCCGATGGGTATCCGGCCGAAGCGCAGTCTTCGGATCATAAGGCTATGTAGAAAATGTACTAACAGACATGAACTGCTGCGGACGATCGAGAATGGAGCCGGATATTAAATGGAACAAAGGGAACAAGTTAAATGAAAAGGAAATGAAGAGACTAATGGAAGGATCAGAATGAATCCGGATATTAACTGTCAGAAGGATCCGGGCATATAGGGGCAGCAAGAAGCATATACAAATGGGGACTCAGGGAAATGAATTCTAGCACGGACCCGAGAGAACGGACGGACTGGACTGGACGAGAAGCTTCAGGTATGGAATATGACAGCTCAGGTGAGTGTCAAGTAGCACAACATTAGTTTCAGCAACTCACCCAAGTTTAATACAACCAGTCGTCTATGCCTGGCCATGCAAAGCCGCTTGCCTTTATCCTCTATGCAGTTAAGGCAAAGTTGTCTTCCTTTGGTCGCGAAAAAGGATACCCGTGATTGCCCGTATTGCAAACCTCCCAGCATCCATCTGAAATGGCAAAGGGGTTGGTGGTGGTCTAGTTGTCGCATGGCTCCCCATTGTATCGTGACTCCAACCTGCTTGACTATCATTTAACTAACACTGATTTTTCAAGGTCAAAGATGATGCCTCGAAGTCGGGAAAACAGAAATTCGCAGATTTTAAAGCAACAGTTTGGCACAAGTCCTTCAAGCAAATACTCAAGTGTCTTAAATCGAAGAGGAAGCGTGGTGGATGGGTCGAGTGTTGGGATAAATCTCAATGCCTTTCCTTTCCTTTTGTCCCGATCTTGTCTGCAGACTACGAGGAGCAGTGCATACAGTCTAGAGCATCATGTATCATGCTGCTAAGGTGTATTAATATTATGTACAGATGTGTTATGTCCCTGATCCGTGGAGTCATGGGAAAATTTCTGTGTCCCATTTGCTTGGTTCCCCGTGACGAGTTGCATAGTCTGTTGAACACCTGGCCACTTCGCACATGCCGCAGTTCAGTTCGCCTGCTCAGGAAGGCAAGAGGGAAGTCCATGAAGGCAAAGCGAGAGAAGAAATTGAAGTCTCAGTTGCTCAGAGATGTTGAAGTAAGCATTTGAATCTTATTATATTGCTGGAATCAAGTTCACAGTGTCACTAAACAGAACTCTCTCAATCTATCTATCAAAGCTTCTGGACGTCTTTCGTGCCCTTTGTTTCGACCGCCCCCATACCCACCATGAAGGACTGTGGGGGAAACACTTGTGGATCGAGCTGCAAAAACGGATTCATGAAGCCAGTAGACAAGCTGTGACTATGATAGATGAAGGGTCTGTTTTTTCGTTTCATCACAGACATCTGAATCCATTATAAGTGTTTCTCAGGTTCGCAGCAGCGCCAAGGTGGCGGAATCTCAACCATTTCAACGGAGTAATGGGAATTAGCTTCGCTGATGGGACAAAGTACGAGGACATACTAAAGGTGACTCTCGAAATTTCAATTATAATTGATGTTCACCCTTTACATGCAGTTGATCGTGTTTGTTGCTCATGACGTACTTGATCCTGAAGTACATGAGCTCGGATATCTCCTCCTTCGATGTATTCGAGCCCATTTAGATGTAGACATGTTCCCGGCTCTTGAAGTGCACACCATGGAGACCCTTGCGGCTGGTCGAGGCGCTCTTGGCGAGTTTTCAAGACTCATGGATGTAAGTTGTGCTTTACGCTAGCGCTGTTGAGTCGCTGATGGATCATCCATAGAAATATATGTCTAAATGTGGATCGGAAGTGAAAAATTGGAATTTTCCAAAGCATCACTTATCTGTTCACCTTTTTGAGGATATCAAGGCCAAAGGCGTTACTCGGAATTTCAACACCAAACCTAACGAGAAAGCACATAGACCCCTGAAAAAATCTTACCAGCTCCGAACAAATTTCAAACAAGTTGCAGACCAGGTCGGGCATCTGCTACCACTTCTAAACTTACATTGATTACCGAGAATACTAGATCTTATGCGCAGACCATTGGAGCCTTGTATCGGCATGGATTTGCTATCGCCTCAATGATCTTGACGACTATAATGCAAGAAAAGAAGCAAGCGCTCTTGGCGGTTCAGATTTGGATTTGGATGCAGATGACACAGCCCCGGACGAGACAGTTAATATGCCTAGATCGGAATCCAGTTTTCATATCAAGCTTGGTTCACGTCAGTGTATATCCTCGATAAATGCCATTCAGCAAGCACACCTCGAAGACCCAGCATTTCATCAGTTTCATACCAAACTTAACCGCTTTCTTAACACGATACCCATCATTACACGGAATGGATGTGTTGCACTTGAATTGGATGCTGATACAGTGAGATTTTCGTTCTTCTTGATGAGTCGGCCACAACTTTAATACTTTGATTTGCACTGTACCAACAGGTGACAGAATTCTGTTACTTGAAAGCAAACTTCGAGTCGACGGTTGATTTTCGGACGTCAAAAGACTACCTCCGCTACTCCCCGATGTTCCACAATGCGCCAAGATATGACTCCGTCATTAGTCACTTGATCTTCGTGTTCATGTGCTTGGTTGGAGATGCAAGTTACCCCATGGCTCTCATTCATCCTTGCGACGCCCCCATTCAAAATCGGCCTTTGAAGGACAGGCACCTAGGGTTATGGCAAGTTAGAGCTCAACCTTGGCGTAAGAGTGAGTTTGTCTTCGCTGATTCGATTATCAGGGAGGCACTGTTGCTTGAGGATTGCTCGCAGCCTGGTGACTTCTTTGTTGTCGATTCTGTCGACACTGATATGTTCCTTTGCATGAAACTTCACAAAGACTCTCATATATACTGATTGCACCAGTGTAGTGTTCAATAGTCCGGTCTTGTGCATTTGCCTCTAGATCTGAATCTCCCACAGCCAGTGTATTATTATGTATTTACTACATACATTTGATGTTCCATACCCGCGATGCTACAGCTGGTCTTTCCGCAAAAACAAACCTTGCTGCTTGTGTACAAAGATCGCCACTTTGCAAGCTATTGGTTATATCTGCGAAACCATAGTACATTTACCTTCTGTACTCAATCGGCCATTGCTCATCTAACACTGAAACCCAGATTCAGAAGGATCGCCACTTTGCAAGCTATTGGTTGAATCTGTGAAGCCATAATAGTACGTTTACCTTCTGTACTCGATCGGCCATTGCTCATCTAACACTGAAACCCAGATTCAGAGGCCTTGACATTGAGTCTGCATTCAACTTGTAATGACGAGTCAGATTCAGAGTCTAGCGGTATGTGAGAATTATTATTACGTTTGTTGTAATAATCGCTTCAAAATTGATTTAAATAACATGTTCTGAATCAGATTCAGCTTTCTCAAGACATCTTAATCTCCCTAAACCACAATGGTCCTCAGAACAAGAGACATGTTGTTGCAACATGGGGTTTCTGAATCGTCCCAACCTCATGTCAATGGTGAATTTCAAATGATCCACTGTCAATTTTATTACTATTAACCACTGAACAGTTCAGGCAACCATATTAGCTGCTGCAGCTGTCATTCAACAAGTCCCTAATGATGTTAGTTCCGACTCGACTCTGAATTCTGCACACAATTCCATTAATGTAATCAGCGCTTCTGAATCCCCCATACACTCTCTGACAGTACCACCTTTCCACTATCAATGACGCCTCTCATCAAGTCACCAGGATAAGCCATATTCTGGAAAAATTCGTGTTGAAGTAGACACTTCGTCCGAATCAGATTCTGAAAAGCCTGTGAGACCTAACATTAGTCAACAGACTGCAAGTGTGCAGCAGCAGATATTGTAGTCACACTTGATGTTGATAGCTTATTTTTCATCATTGATCACAGCGTGCCCCTGCCCACATTGTCGGTAGCACGACAAACCAACAGCAACAGTGTGCAGACCTTTTACCTGGCCATATCTGAAATGCCGATCATAGGCTTCAACACGCCCAGACAGACCAACCATGTATCAACCCTGGACCCTCTGATGTCGCTAATAATGTGACAAATCGACAGCGTCAACAAGTCCCGACTGTCAATCAGCATCGTGAACGTGCCCCGGTTGTCGATCTCGCAAAACAACTGCACCAAAATGCAAGGCTGCCCACACTACAACGACAACTGTCCTCAGAAACCATTGCCTCGGTTACTACCACAGGCTCTGGTGTTGTTGAGAAGTTCTACTCAGTCCGACGTGGCTGGTGCATTGGTGTATTCACCTCAAGGTATTTAAAATTATCTCCTTCAAATGGTTTCCTGATGTATCGTTAATTTTGACAAATTATAGATTGGCGGCTGTTATGTTTGCACGTGGTGCCGCAGGGGGAAACTACAAGTCATTTCGAAGCAAGTGAGCAGCTGTGGATGATTATCGTCTCAACAAGGGGCGAGCATGATACTATGTTGGTGAATGTCCTGTCAGAATCAATGTTTCTGCCAGCGACTCGGATTCAGATGTGTTGTTGATGTACTGGCAGCAGTGACAATTTATTAGTCTTTCACGATAGTCTTTCATGATAGTCACTCTCTTATCTCATATACTCGCCAATTCATATGCATGATCTCACATTTATTGCTATTAGTCACAGTTGTCTGAAGTGACTGTTAGTCACGACGTGAACCCAACTCTGTTGTTGGATTCGGAATCAATGGATCCTCCTGCTTCCTCATATGCAAGGTGCGCTGGAGATTCAGAAGCTCATGGGCAATCATCAGGTGAGTCTAAGCGCTCCATTCATAGTTATGACTGGGAAGCTTACCTGCCTCTTATCATTGTTAATATGCCTGGTCCAGGACCCGGTGTGCTGGAGAAGCTCACGAGCGCTCCATTCTGAATCATGGTTATGACCTATTAGGTATGTCAACAATCTATTACTTGAATGTTATTTAAAGGCTCAACCGAATCCTCTGAATCATCCGTGCTTGGCATCTGAATCATAGGGAACACCTTTTCCATGATGTGTCGTCAACCAACCTTGAAGCATAATAATACACACCTCAGTGGTGTGTTTTGATTGATTCTGAATCAGATTTGGAACACTCGAGGCTGACAGCCACAAATCAGATTGCAACAGCAAATTTCAAGTCAACGCAGACTCAGAAAGGTGACAGAATCTGGCAGTGTTGATGTAACATGTCTCATGTTATATTACATAGGAGAATTAAATTCATGTCAAGTCAAGTGCTGGCGGCTGCGAGGCGATTAGTCAAGTGCCTCACTTCATCTGATTCAGATCCTCATGCATTGTCACCATCATGTTCCCATCATGACCCACGTAAATGAGCACTCAAGTGAGTAAGTCCTTGCTGTGCATCTGAATCATCAGGACACATTTTTTGATTGCTTGTTAGCCCACTTTGAATGACAATATATTAACCCCCAGCATTATTTCAATGCCCGTCTACCAATCATCTGCGTCTTCCATCAGCTTGATCTGCATCGACATTACAGTCGAAATTCCATCGTGTCCCACACTATTCAAGATGATTCAGAGTGCACCTGGACCATACAGCCATATTAGGTCTGAGGATTCAGACTCTGATGCTGCTGCAAGCTTGCGACGTCATGCTCCTGAACCTTCTATCTCGAATCCAAGTCATTGTACAGCTACTCATGAAGATTCTCGTATTAGTACGGTGAGTTAGATATATCAAAACAGTTGTCATACTCGAGTGACTCATTCAGATCTCTTTAAATAGACTTTGAAGGAGGCTCAGCTCCAGTTAGAAGCTGTCAAGCAGCGCAATCGACTTTTGGAAGAACAGAACACCATTTTGGAGGCCAACAAACCCTCTCACAAAACCTCCAAGGTGCCCTCCCAACTTGTAGCATTTGACGAGGAAGTGAAGATGTTTGCTAAGAAGTATGGTGTCATGTACGAGATGTACCCACCCAGCACCGAGCTACTAAAGAAGACTCTGCCTTCAATTGGCTTGTCATTTGACCGGCCAGCACGCTATGCAAACTCAGCTGCAGAAGCAGACACATTATTGTCTGAACTACGTAGTGTGCTCCCAGATCACCTGCACCATCTCATATCCTCAAATCATTTCCATAAGACTGTACGTGTACATTATAATAAGTATTATTATGTAATTGACTTCTATTTTGATTACTAATATTTGTCCAGCTGCAACAAGCACTTGAAGCTGGTCGGTCTTCTGAACTCATCAAGTTGCAACGAGTTGGTGGTCACATTTTTAGATTAAGCTCTGATTACTTTGTCACATCCGCAAAACAAGACACCATCGATGAGCTTTGTAGGCTGCTAGGTACTACACCCAGAAGCTGTACCTACCCACTATTTCCTCCCATTCTCTTTCCAAATACAGTCGTTGACACTAGTAATTCAACTGTCTTTGGTAACTGGAAGCCCTTGGCTCAGGTATGTTGCTATTTCTTTGTTTATATACAGCTTACTGACAATGACAATGTCACCAAAACAGATCTTGAAAGCAGTTTTGATGGGCGAAGCATCCCTTACATCTGTCAAGAAGGGCGGGCCACCTAGAAACCACAAGATTTGGGGAGTATCTACCATAACACCTGGAGCAATTGCATGGAGCGCCACTATTGTAAGTGGTTCATTTTATTGCTCCCATCGTCGCTGAGAGCTGAGCATTCTTCATTGCAGGCCATCTTTCTTCTATCACCAGATACGGTATTCTCTCAATATCTTTGGAGCCATGAAGCTACCAGTCGATGCACCTGATGGGGAAGACTTTACTGCACAGATTGCACTTGCAATGGCTGGCTTGCAATCCAACGATGCCAACAAGGATTTGGATTCTACACCGGGTCCAGGTGACTCCGCTCAGGGTATCGAAATCACTCAGTCTCCGCTGAATTCTCCGCTATTGACTCCAAGGTTGTCCGTAGTTCCTGAAATACCTTCCAGCGGCTCCAGTACTCCTCTCATACTGCCACTTGCTCCTGCAGTTACTGTGGTTGATCAGAACTTGCCTGTTTTCGATGACACAGGTGACGTCGAGCTCAATGAAAGGGTGACTGGGACTATACATGCAGAGGATCATGCAGAGCCTGAGAGTCATACTCAAGGACGGAGGAAGAAGAAGTCTGGCCAGGCAGCAGTCCCTCGCAAGTCTGTCCGTCAGAAGATTCAGCAATAGTATTACAACGCTAGTTCATTGTAGTCCTGATAATTAGCATACAAATATTATTTTCATTGCGCTCCAATTGTTACGACATGGATTGTAATGTTTATTGCAAGGAACATGGTGACAGATGTTCGCCAAGTTGTGAGAAGTTGAAATGCACGTCTAAATGGAGAATATAATGCTGATTATGGACACGCTCGCTTCATTAGAGCTTCTATTGCCAGCGCCATTATGAAATTCATTGCATTGCAGTTGCCATACGACTCCTTTATGGCATTGACATTACAAGATAACTCTCGGATATGTCTATTTCAATTGATTATAATACCTTAAAATAGGTTTTGGGAATTTCTGACATTATATACTATGGACATGTGCGACGGGGAAGGAGTCAGCGGAGATCCGGGTCAACAAGAGGAACATACGCAAAGGTTAAACTGACAGGCGCAAGGAAAATAATACAGGAACGACTGAGAATGGAGGCGGAGATGAAGTATCAAATGGATCCGGGCATATGAGATATGATCGAGAATGAAGTCGGATATTAACTGTCAAGCAGATCCGGGCATATAGGGGTTAGGACAAGGGGACTATAAAAATGGGGTAACAGAATAGGAGCAGGACCGGAAATGAACTGTCAAGCAGATCACGGGAAATGGGGACGGAGATGAACTGTGAAGTGGGTCCGATGTTTTGAGGGGTTAAACGGGTCTGAGGCTCAGGATCTGAGCAGGTCCAATGTTTAGGGTCCGACACTTATGGGTTAAGTGGACCCGAGTGGGTCCGACATTTTAGGAGGTCCGACGTATAGGAGATCTCAGGTATGCAGGAGGAGTGGACAAGCGGTGTGTTAGGGGGTTTGGGCCAGGGGCTCATTTGGGGGTCTGCCAGAGGTGCCAGGGGTCTTGCCCGGGCCTCGAGGCACTCAGTAGATATACTTCGTGCATGTCAGTAGCTAGTTCTCACCCTATTCCACCTGTTTGTCCCCAGCATCTGGTTAGAGTCCCATGGCTCGTCCCCCCATGGCCCATTCCAGCGGACAAGTGGACAAGCAGATGACATGGGTGGGATCCAACAAAATAGGAGGTCCGATGAATAGGGGGTAAGTGGACCTGAGTGGGTCCGACGTTTAGGACATCCAAGGTATGCAGGAGGAGGAGGAGGTCCGATGTATAGAATGTCCGACAAATAGGAGATCCGATGTATAGGGGATCCGGACTTTGTGTCGAACAGGTTAGGGGAAGCAGGGCAGATCCTGCTGAGGGGTATGGATAGGGTTAAGGTATAGCTTGGTTACGTTTCGGAGGTCCGAACATTGTTTGTCGGGAGAGTTTGGACATGATTCAGGGGCTCAGTGTATGGTATATGACACAGGCAAAATTTAAAGAGGATGCTGTGTTAAGGCTTAATTAGAAACATCTAGGAAGGTCGGTATATATCCTCTCAAGGGAGATCTACTCAGCTCTAAAGGAGGGGGTCTGGCATACTGTGAGAACTTTGTCAAAGTGCTGCTAAGGATGTGACTGTGATGTATATATTGTTTTCTTTTGGCCTCATTGTTCTTTCTCAATCATACCAAGTCTATTCTAGCCTACAACCATATCTTCAACTATTGATTCTCACTAAGTTGAACAAGTGGTTTAAGCCTAGCTCTGCTATAAAGATATCGTTACTGAGCAATCAGATATTCTCCGCACAGATCCTATCACTTTCCAGCAGCATAGATACATCTTCATTAGTCTCTGGTCATTGTAAAAGAGTGTCAATTATGGGAACTAACACCAGATAATTATAATTCATATCTGACTTGGTGTGATGAGTTGTATAGCATGATCCCAACGGATTTTGACGAGTAAGTTTTGTTATCATTGGATAATGTTTCACAAATTGACATTGGCCCCTTGTAGCTGAGTCTCAATTATGCATACAGCCTATGCAGAATTGATGTGTCTCCTCAACTCCAAGATTCTATCACAACCACAAGATCTCGTGTTAGAAACTATGAAGAGGAACCATGAGCTCCAGTGTGTAATTTCTTTATTATCACATATATATTTACCTTAGCCTGAGTACCTATTTCAGCCGCCTCAAGTATTCACTTCCTAGTGTCCCCACAGAGGCATCCAGTATCATGGACAACAACAGCTTCACATGTCTCTTGAAGCCATCATGAGACCAAACCTCAAGCTCTACTCAAATCAAGACTGAAGAGGTTTTAGCATCATTCAGAGGACCTTTATAGCAGGAGGTTCTATTTCTGTCTTCAAACAGAGGATTCAATGATATTTGAGGTGATAGGCTATACCATGACCAGGTATAAGACCCTGATGTATGAGGTACTATTTGATTATATCAATAATCATTCTATTCCTCAAAATGAGGAGGATATAAAACTTCTCCTTGTGAATTCCATCCCTCTATAGTAACTTGGTAGCTATTTTTGTATCATTGTACTCCTGTGTAACATATTAGATATTGTTGTATCATTGTAACCCACCTGTACTTGTGAGAATGATGCTTAACCATAGTTAGTTAGTAATGTGGTGATTTTGTAAGTTTGTTTGTAGTCTATGGATCCTACTCAATTAAGCTTAATGGTTTCTGAGTCTTTTTGTGATTCTTATTATTCTCACATACCTTTCTGGCTCTACTTCTTCACTACAGCCTGTCCTCTTACTCACTCATATATATATATAATGACACAATAGACTGCTTTTTCATTGTCTAAGAGCTTATACAGTAACCTGCAGTGCTAACTATAATATGTATATTTAAAAACAAAAATTTATTTATTTTTTGCTTCTTTAGCAGGGAAGCTATTCTGACTTTATATATCATATATTAGAGTGTTAATGAACACATTACATCATTTTGTTGAGCCTCTGAAGTACCCTACACTAGTAGATATGTTGTATTCATACATACCTCTCAAAAACATAAACTAGTTCATATTTTCCATGTATCTGATGTATTGTCTAGTAAATATGCTTCCTACAATGACTTTTCATGTATATATAACATATTAGAAGCTAAGTACATCAGGACCTTTCACTACGGTAATATGTTTGTACTGTCTCCTAGTAGTACACTCCATGAAAAAAAATCTTCCTACAGCTCTGGTTTTCCAGTATAGTAGGTGACATATTCCTATGAAAATTTAGACAATATCCCTCTCTACAGTCCAAAGTCTCCTCCTATCTACACTATAGCATATTGTCACATTTTTTAATGTTTTTTCTGTATTTTCGTTAGACAGCCTATATAAACTACTTGTAGATAACTTATGGTACATATATGAAGCCCTCTCATGGTCATTATAATTCAAAACTATGTCAGAGTACTGACATCAATGGAGAGTATAGCTTCTTCCCATAAAACATTACTGGTAAGTTCTTCAACTAACATTACATTCATCTTGTTCTGGTTGCAAGATGTGGGTAGCACATTGCTGGTGCTGACTGATGAATAGAGATGTTTATAATACGACTTTGTGCTGACCGTGGCTTGCATCACTGATGATCAATGATTGATGATAGTTGGTGTTAAGATATTGTATAACGGCCCATCAGGTTAACATTCGCACAGGACAAAGATATAGTGGCAAACCCTGCAATCATACAATTTTCATATTTCACCTATGGGGTGAAGATTTCATTAAAAATAGATAGAATACATTATAGACTACTTAAATATCATATACTGATATATACTGTGAAGGTGAAGGTGACATAGAAGTGTTGTGGTCTCAATTTGTTGCCTCAGCCTGGTCTAGACAAGCGGGAGACTGTCCCATGCTAGAAGGAATCGTTGGTCCAGTCAACAAATTTTCAAGGAAAATAATTGCTTACCCTGAGATTGTCTTGCGGTTGTCAAGCAAAGTAGGCTACCAAGGTATTTCCATCTTTGTCCTAGAAAACTCCAGAGGTTCCATTGCTCTCCCATGAAACCATGTCATTGATGACAGCCTAAGCTTAGTCTTTGGCAGTATTTGTTTCTGCTTTTCAAGAGCCTAGAGACTCACATCTTTGAGACAAAACAGTGGAATATTGCATTTCCAGTGCGCAACATTGTGCTCAACATGTCTCATTATATGTTGCTGATATGTATTCTGGTTCACTGTAAGGTATCGAACAATAGGCTGCACACTCCATTTCTTCTGACAGCAAGCGACAGGATTTAAAAGATGGGTTTTGGGATGGGGTTCAGTAGTGGACTTATGCAGCTTGGACTTTTCTTCCTGCTCGAGTTCGATGACTGCTTGAGAAACAAAGGTAGCATCAGGTATGATAGGACGAGGCATGAGAGATAGGAGTTGGTGAGCAACCATGTAAGTTTGTAATTGTTTATTTTTTGTGCTAGTTACATACTCTTACGTCCATCGAGACCACCCATTCATGGATGTTTGTATTGTATTTTTTCAATGTTTGGACTTTTTGACTTTCCCACAAACTTTTTCTTATCTATTAAACCTGCCTACTGTCAATTATTCACAGATCCTTCTATAATTAAGGACTGTATTAGTTGGTATGTATAGTATACCCTTTGATAGTCTGATCATAAAAAGTCACTATATTCATGTCTGGAAACACTTATTAGTGACAATAGAATATATGTGCTCAATATCATTACTCTGACATGGTCTGTGCACAAGACTGGAAAGAGTACTTTCTGTTGATGTGAGTCCTCATTTGTATACGCTTCTTGTTGCCCCTATATGCCAGGATCCTTCTGACAGTTAATGTCCGGGTTCATTCTGATCCTTCCGTTAGTCCATTCATTTCCTTTTCATTTAACTCATTCCCTTTGTTTCATTTAATATCCAGCTCCATTCTCAATCGTCCACAGTAGTTTCATGTTCCGTTAGTACATTTCCTACATAGCCCTATGTTCCGAAGACTGTGCTTCGGCCAGATATCCATCGGGTACACTACAGTATATAAACCCTCTGTAACCCATAGTATTTCCTTAGTTCGAATATTAACTTAGACTCTGTTCATTCCCTGTGTCCTCTCGGCTCTTAGGATTATCATCCTAGTCCAATCCTCCGAGCCTCGGGATTATATCCCTGAGGCTAAATCCCTCTGTCTCTACCTTCGGGTAGTCCGTACCCTGTTAGTTTCTACCCAGACATTAGTCCCGGTAGTCTTCCCTCTCTCATCCGGCCTATCCATTACCCCTCGGCCGACGATATCTATCCCTCATAAATTAGGGGCATGTACTTGGGTAAAGGGCACAGCGCACGAGCTGAAGCCAAGCCCCTCCGGTCCGACCCATTGAACACAGTCTTAACAACCAGCTGAGATTGCACTGTCTCTGCTAGAGTGGGAATTGGATGATGGAGTTCTAGATCTGATATTTTTTGTTCAGAGCTCTCTGCCGTTGGTTCTAGATTGATTTGAAAAACACTAGAAAAATGTGCCAGCAGCAAATCCAATGTGATATTATTGGATAATAAAGCAAATTTCAAAGGGCCTTTCTTCTTGGTCTTTAGAAAGTATCCAAGTTGAGAAAAGGGAATGGCAGTCCTAAACTGCGGGCTAATAAGAAGATTAATAATGGGGCTGTAAAACATGCCCGAGAGGTAAGAGAGTGCCATGAAGGAACCATCAACTGTAGAGGGTGAGGAAATAGTAATGCAAACTCTGGGGAGTCACAAGGATATAAACCTCGAGAGGCGAGCTAGTAGAATCGTCCCTTAGGGGATGGATGGTACTGAGGCAAATTTCTTTGATAATGAGAGGGATCAAGGAGCAGCCGGAAGCCGAAGATATGCAAAGGCGTGCAAAGATGCACGCATGTGATGCAGGACACCACAAAGGAGATATTCCAGGGTGCCACCAATGTGGATGCTGTGGCCCTTGAGGTTGGGGAGATTGGATATGGCAGAAATGCTGGAGATACGCTTGATGAGTTTGGTTTTGGACAATGTGTGCCTTTCCTGGGGGGTTTCCAACCAAAAAGGTGATATGACTACTCTGCTTGATTGATGTGAAAATGGTTCTCTACGACCGCTTTCGGGTCTGACAGGCCTTCCTGTTGTGCCCAGGAAGTGTTCTCTCCCTCCTTCAGGGATGATTTTGTGCATGGGATGGGCCGTCGGCACGCAAACCTTCATCAATCCATGTGGAAAGGTAGGCTGAACATTGTTGGTGCTCGGTGGTCACACTATGCTCATGGTAGACAGATGTATTCCGTGTGAAATCAGAAACAACAACATATCATTCTACTGCCTGGTAAAGGGCAGGTGTGTATTGTACAGTACGTTCATCAACAATATAGGCTACTGTTGGCAGACAAAAGGTCAGCGAAACTGGACAAGTCAAGAAAACTGGACGCACTCTGAACAAGAAACTCAACTGAGTTACACAAGTGAAATCAGCCTTGTGGCACGCGTCAGACAGAATTTTGGCACTTACATTGTCCAGTGTCAATTGTCCTGTCACCTAGGCACATAATAAGGATTTGTGAATGCCTCAACCGCTAGCTGCAAGTACTCATGGAATCATCTGTAGACAGTGTGGCATCCACCATTGCTGATTTCCATTCACTCATTGTACTTATACTTATCAGCCCAGGTCATAGGTGCACAGCAGGGACAGGAGTCCGCTTTATTCTTCAGAACTGTGAGTGGATGTATGTCAATGTCTCACACTCAGATCTGGTAAAGCTAATATTAGCATGCCACAGCTCCAATAGCTGCTGATCCTGCAGACTCATCAGAAACATGAGATGACCCTGCTGGACGGCTTACAGAACTGTTCTGTAGACGTGCTAATGTTTGAGTAAGTTCCATTTCTGAAACTACTGAGCACATTGTGCGATGCAGCCCCAGCGAGCACAGAGTCAATGTTCTCCTTGTTCACAAATTGGTAGAGGCCGTTGAGTGAGTGACAAACCAGTGTGTACCAGTACACTGTCATCTTAAGGGTGCGTCCACAAGGCAATTATAAATTGGTGCATCCACAACTCAAGCTCATTATATAAAGGTGTGCTGTCGCCCTACCATATTAAGTATGTTTATCGAAGTGCTCCTTCACTTCAGGTCCCCTCTCAACCCCATCCTCATCCCCATCACTCCCATAACTATGCAGTCCAAGATCTTTGGGGATAACCACAGTCCGGACCTGGCATCAGATGTTGCTTCTGCTTCTGATCTTCCTACTTTTGTGTCTCGTTACCTGGACTCTTTTGGGAATCTGCTGCCATACATGCGCACCACCCTCTCTCCCATACCGCCACAGTCTGATATCTGGGGAAACATGAACACAGAGTGTTTGTACTGTTCTGACCAGGAGTCGCCCAACCCTCCAGGCCTCATTCAATCCTCCACATCCCCAGATACGGCAGAGAAGTCCATCCCGCGAATCTATTCGCTGTAATACATACATGGCCCTTTCCGTGTTTTGCAAAGGCTCTGGGAGCTCAAGACCTAGCCACTGATCGCTTGATATGTCTGAAGGTCTTTCAAAAGGACCGTCTTAAACACAGGGGCACAGAAATTTAGGTCCTTTTGAACGAGCTGGAAGTGTACAAGTGGCTTGTGTGCTGGTGGAGTCCTGCGACTATATTTCTGATGAAACTAGAAATGTCATTCCAGACAAACAACCATATTGTTTTGCTATGGTATCCATAACCGATGGGATTGTGATAGACATTGACGCACAGGATTCACAGCTTGCTCCCAATACCCCTAGCCCCGCTGCACAGCTTATTGAATGGTGCCCATAAGGTCTCCAAAATCTCCCCATCAACATGTCCAGCCCCTTGAACAAAGTTGAGGCTGTACCTTGCAAAGCAAGCCAATTTGTGAGCACTGAGATGGAATTTTCCAACCGCAGGGATGATCTGCATATTTTCTGGTATGGATAAGCCTTGGCTCTCAGCAACTCTCTGTAAAAAATTAATACTCCACTGACACCCCACATCATAAATAATGAGAGAGGAGTCTATACCAGCCGAATGATAATTCAAAGCATTGCATATTGAATAGTCAATGTTCATGTGTCTAAACATCTCATGAGCTCACTGAACATGCTGTTTAGGAGGATGTGTTGCAATGGGAACTGAATGGGCCGCTTCTAGAGGCTCCTGAGTGACCAAAGATGATCAGGACTAGAGTCCAGAGTAAGTTGCCAATGTATTCAAGTATAGTAAAGGTATACAGTACCTAGAGTCCAGAGTAAGTTGCCAAAGAGGCAGGGAGCACTGGACTCTGGGATATGGGCGATGTATGGTAAACAAATGTAAACAGACAAGCCATAACACAAAGGTAAGGGATAACTCGACCTAGACAAGTCCTAGGGAGGTCAGGAAAGTGAGTGAATGGTCAGAGAAATATAGGTAATGAATATGTACGTATAGATACCATGAAAAGGATAGAAAAGCATACTGTAGAGGTGAATGATCATATAACTAACACCCATGTCCCTGGATGGATGATGGGCAAGGCTTGTGCAATCGAAGTCTTCATGAACAACTGCAAAATAGCTCTGGATCCAGCTGAACACTATGCTTCCAAACAGAAAGATAACGACCATGAAGGTCGTTCCTCGTGGAATGCTAGAGCGCAAGGGCGTGAGAAACCAGACGAGAGCAGAATGTGCCCTTTGTTTCCTAAATAATCTCAAATATGATATGACGATCGTACAACCTGGGTAAAGATGTCATGGGACAAGTGGAAGATTAACAAACTGGTCGACAAAATCTTGTAAGAAAAAGGTTGCGAGCCCTATGAGGTCATGGCAAGGTTGAATTGCAAGACTGCAGATGAAGTGAGTCATTTATCGACATATTTATCTCACAACATGACATAGCCATTCACTCAGTTTCCGACTATGGATGCTGCGCAGATAAGGCAGGCTGTTTCGATTAAATTGTTCAGCGATGATTCATTTGCTGATGGATCGTTTGTTGTGCCATCTATCATGACATTTGTTACCACCGTGTTGGTATTGACTTGAAGTAGGTATCGGAAGGTCATAAAAAGACAGGCCAACAGTATTGACAAAGAAACTCAGGAAGCTGAAGAGCAATGGTGAGGTAAGTTGAATGTGCTGTCCGCTCAGGGCAGGGGGCTAATCCCAGTGCAACTATAACAATCGTAAATGCAAATCCTACGATGGCCAGCATCCGCGCCTACCTGAAGAAGTTGGAATCCTTGGTCATCCTTCTTAGCGTGTTTAAGGATAAGGAGACAGTCAAAACGCTCGAAGCATGTCGTGAACAGGTCAGTGCCATGCTGGCCACGGCCAAGAAAGATCCCAGCAAGGCAGAACCCATAGCACATTAGTAGTCCAGCACTTGACTGGCATATATGCAATGGCTGAACATGGTTTTCTAGGGCTACCTAAATCTCTTTGAGATGCACTTGAGAGGTTGGCCACTGAGGAGGAGGTCAAGGAACTTGAACTTCTGATTGAGACAACGCTGGCTGCGATGGTGCCACTCGGAGGTGATGAGGTAGCGGTAGACTTCGAGGAGAATATAGATGTGAACAACTGGAAGAGTGGTGTAGAAGAATACAACAGGTACAGCGAGGACGACCTTTGGGAGCACCTGGGCCTATTGGAGAAGAAACTCCCTTTTTCCAGGTGCAATCTGATCCCAATGCCATCATTGACCCATGGAGCGAAGATGGTCAGCAATGGCTTGACAATCCAACAAGTCTGACCCAGAAACTGGCGCCTCGGTGGCACCAGCTGGTTAGCATTCTGAGGATGATCGACAGGGCATTGGACTGTGAACCGGTATGCTCATGGATGGTGTCGGGGTTGGAAAAACTATGCAGGCTGTCGGATTGATTGCATGCCTTGCGCACTACAGGGAACACTGCAGGAAGCATGGCAAGTTCCCTGGAAAATTTGGTAAGCAATATGACAGGTGTCTGAAGAGCTGAATGCACTGACAGCTTCTCCACAGCTCAACGCCATCACAAAAAGACTGGCGGCAACATTCCAGACTTGCCCATTGTGATCATGTGCCCCCCAACTTGCAACATCAGTGGATGAGTGAAATACAACAGTATCTAAGGCGAGCGACATTTGATGTTCTTCCCTACACGGGCAAGTATGTGACACAGGTACAGTGGTGGACGATGGCTTGGAGTCAATGCCAGCAACCTCCGATACGACACATCATCTTGGCCACAACAAATGTGAGTAACTGCTGTGGGTTGTTAGTGGTATATGAAATTAACTGCTACATTTGGCAGGCAGTTCAAGACGATGCAGGGACAATTGTCATTCTGTTAGTTTTATGATCATTCACCTCTACAGTATGCTTTTCTATCCTTTTCATGGTCTCTATACGTACATATTCATCACCTATATTTCTCTGACCATTCACTCACTTTCCTGACCTCCCTAGGACTTGTCTAGGTCGAGTTATCCCTTACCTTTGTGTTATGGCTTGTCTGTTTACATTTGTTTACCATACATCGCCCATATCCCAGAGTCCAGTGCTCCCTGCCTCTTTGGCAACTTACTCTGGACTCTAGGTACTGTATACCTTTACTATACTTGAATACATTGGCAACTTACTCTGGACTCTAGTCCTGATCATCTTTGGTCACTCAGGAGCCTCTAGAAGCGGCCCATTCAATTCCCATTGCAACACATTCAAGGCGACAGGGACAGCTATAAGCAGTTGATGCCTAGTCCTCGCTTTGAACGCACTAGTCCTAATACCCTCTTTGGTCATGAAGACATCATGAATACCGTCCATGAAGGTCACATCTTATGCAATATCAACACGGCCCACACTGCAGCCCGAGCACTTCAAGGGAAATCTCATTCAATTGCGATTATGACTGCAACACCGGTCACTACAAAACCTGCGGTAAGCTAGACTTGAACTTGGCTCGGTATCACCTTTTAACTGATGATGCTTTGGATGGACGCCAGGACCTTTGGAATATGGGTCTGCTGCTTGGCCTCCAGACATTCAAGGATACAGCGCAGCTCAAGACCATGAATAGAGAATTGTCAGCTGCCCAGCGAAGGGATCGTAAGGCAAATACCTGCCTGTAATGAAAAACTGGAGGGGCAGATACGGGAGTGGTTCGCCCCTGCTATCATTCTTCGCACCGTGGACTCCACTGATTACACAGGCAATAAGATCCTGGGCCTCCCTCCCTATGACCACAGCCTAAAAATCAAGCTGCTTGACTGGGAAATGGAGAATCTGAGGAATATTGCGTGTGGATACTTGGATGACTGTCCCATTGTGGGGATGAGCAAGGTGAGGTCAATTGTTCTCGCTCTGTTGACTTGTCATCCGAGCTCCTGAACTGTTTATGCACAGAATTTCTATGTTGAGTTCAGGCGATCCAACCTTCATCTGCATATGAACTCAACTAAGGAATGGTCGTGGACAAAACCAAAATCATGGGAAGAATGGGACACCAGCCCTGACACCAAAAGTATGAAGTTGGAACGCTTCTCAAATACCATCTGGAGTCTGACGGTCATCAGCCATTGATGATGAGAGTGGCCAAAACCTGGTTCCTAACCCGACCTTCACGGCTGGCAATACCACTCTTGTGTGATGCCGAATCAACACTCTTAGCGCCATGGGCAAGGAGATAAAAGGCCATGTTGTTAGCCCATGCCAGTGGAGGAGTTTCTCAACTAGTTCCTACCAAACTCTAAAAATCATGACCCCTTGGACTTCACCTCGCTCTTCACTTCAGCCACCAAAGCTGAAGTATTCAACATGCAATCTGTTAGGAAAGAGGAGGATTCTTACAATCTTTTCGTGAGTGACCCTGCATCTATGATATTAAGATCGTTGACAGTCTTACTCCAGATTAATGGCATACACAGCCTTTCACTCCCCAATTGTCATTTGTCAACACGTCCAATCATGCAGACACGAAGAACTGCTAGTCATTCACATTCAATGTCAAGCCAGACATATGTGTATATGCCAATGGAACATCTTGACTGATGTTTGGATTTCTGAAGGCCGTGTCTTGACTGACATACTTATCTACTACACTGCATATCTACCTACCATACACTATCTACCAAAGCCAATAGAAAAGTCTATGCTCATCTACTACACCACATACCATGGGCCCACTTGATTGTATCAGGTAAACACTTGATGTGGGAGGAAATTGTCACCCTCAGCTGTCTGTTATCAGGGCAAAGTGACTGCAGTATGTGAAGAGAAAAGAGGTATTGACTCAAGGATAGCGATCCAAGAGTATAGAGGTTTCGTGATCAGACTCTCAAGAGACTTAACTCAAGAGAATATAGTTCAGGTAAAACCCAGTAGAATCAATTCAAGGAATGATAGTACAAGTGGATCGACTATATATAGTGAATGACTACAGTTTTCAGGGCAGGTCTGCTAATTGTACAAGGGTCAAGAAAGGTATATCAGGCAGGCGGGATCAAGGCAGGAGTCCATGAGGTCAGGGATGGAGGTCTATGGGAACATCAAGGAAATGGAAGTAAAGGCCTGTTAGTTATATGATCATTCACCTCTACAGTATGCTTTTCTATCCTTTTCATGGTATCTATACGTACATATTCATTACCTATATTTCTCTGACCATTCACTCACTTTCCTGACCTCCCTAGGACTTGTCTAGGTCGAGTCATCCCTTACCTTTGTGTTATGGCTTGTCTGTTTACATTTGTTTACCATACATCGCCCATATCCCAGAGTCCAGTGCTCCCTGCCTCTTTGGCAACTTACTCTGGACTCTAGGTACTGTATACCTTTACTATACTTGAATACATTGGCAACTTACTCTGGACTCTAGTCCTGATCATCTTTGGTCACTCAGGAGCCTCTAGAAGCGGCCCATTCAGCTCCCATTGCAACAGGTTATGAGCCCTGCGCTATAGCCGCTTCAAAATTGTCATAGCTCAAGATCTACTGAAGATATCGACTTGATTCCTTCACCAATCGATTCCTTGCCCTCGATTACCCCCATCTACGTCTTCCCTACTCTAATCAGCTCTCAGGAGGTCGAGTTTATCTCCCTTCTTTAGATCTGACACATATCCCCTATCAATTTCGACTTCCTGCCCTCATATCTCTCCACCCTTTGACCCGCCGGCTTATCGGTCTTCACCATCGTCTTCTGCGACCTCAAAAACCCCCTGGAGAGAGTCTGAGGTGTTGTAGAGCGTCTGGATCATCAGGGATAAGGAGATCAGTAGCAGATCAGTCAATTTTGGGCCCTTAGTGCGCCCCTTTCCACATCTTTGCCTCATATTGAGGTCTATTCATCACATATCTGACTCGGGGTGTTGCCCATCGCATTCTGCGCCTTCGGAAGCCCCCATCCACATCCCTGTATCGTCTATTGGTCGAGCCTATCGCTCCCAGTACACCCATCTTGCTATCCATCCCATATCAGCAATCAGATCTCTTATCAGTCCCCTATCTAAGGGTCCCCTATCCACTATCCATTCATCCCCTCGTCCTCTGCTGCGTTTCTGCACCTCCTTTCATCGTCTGCAACCCATCCCCACCATCTCTGAGCCTTGCATCGCCCCTACTCCATGTCTACTGAGACCACCTATACCAAGTCACCTTCTGTGTTGACAGAGGCCAACTACTCTACCTGGAAGGGTGAGATGAAGGCTTATCTTCGCACTAAGGGGCTTTGGCTGCTTGTCTCTGGCAAGGAGACTCGCCCTCCAGACTCTCAGGCTGAGGAGCAGGCCAAGTGGGATCAGAAGCAGGACAAGGCTGCAGGTGAACTCTTCCTCCACTGTTCTGCAGACCAGAGGCTGCACTTTGAGGACGTCCAGGACGACCCTGCCTTGATCTGGACTACCCTCGAATCGACCCATGTCCAGCAGCTCCCTGCCACTCGCTTTAACGCCTGGGACGACTTCTTCACCATTAGGAAGCGCCCTGATGAATCCTTGAGCACCCTTATTGCCAGGATTGAGGAGGGCATGGCCAAGATTCAAAGACTTCGCCCCCAGGACTCTAGTAAGCCCTACAGTCTCCCTGATCTTGATGCTGAGCTCGTCTCTATGGCCATGATCCGTGCTCTGGGCGAAGACTATGCCCAGTTTGCGTCGAGCCTCATCCTACTCAAGTCCTTGGACAAGAAGGAGCTCAAGGCTGCTTTCCTCGCTGAGGAGACTCAGCGCCGTCGACGTGCTGATGCTCTTGGAGTGTCCTCTAGCGATTCTGCCCTTGCCTCTGCCACTGGGGCGCCTGCTAGTAGCTGTAAGTGCGATGCTAATGCTGTCTGCGACTTCTGTGGTAAGCCAGGTCATTGTGTGCACAAGTGCTTCGCTATGCAGCGTGCTAGGGATGCACATAAGACTAGGCAGGCGCCCAATCAGTCTGGACAGCAAGGTAGGCGGCCTAGGAACGCTAACAAGGCCTCTGAGGCGTCCTCTACCACATCTCAGCCCTCCCCCATCGTCCTCCATTGTCCCTGCCTCTGCACACGTGTCCTCTACCGTCCAGAATGTGTCCGAGTTCGCTGGTAATGCAAGTCTTCGCTCTTTTGACTCCTCTAGTCCTCTATGCCCTCTCCAGCTCGATGCTGACGCTGATTGGAATGCAGACACAGGGGCCACTTCTCATATGACCCCCCATCGCCACTGGCTTCGCAATTATACCCCAAAACGCGTGCCAATTCGACTTGCCGACTCGACCATAGTCTACTCAGCTGGTGTGGGGTCAGTGGTCTTTAATCCTGTGTCTGTGGGCGAGGTAAAGAGTCTTAGAGCGGTCGAGTTCACTCGAGTCTTGCATGTACCTGATCTTCGTAACAATCTCCTCTCAGTTCTGTATCTAACTCGAAATTGCGGCTTCTACGTCGATATATCTGCCTCTCATATGACCTTCTGTCGACCTAAGGGCTCCCCACTCTTCTATGCATCTATCAACGCCCACAACGCCGCATTTCTGGACGGTACCACCTCTCCTATCACCGAGTTCGCTTCTCCTGCCTCCACCTGTCCTTTGGACATCGCTCTCTGGCATCGGAGACTAGCTCATCACCATATAGCTGGTGTTAGGACGCTTATCGACCACAAGTTGGTCACTGGACTTAGGCTGGACTCTAGGGCGTCGCCAGACCCTGTCTGTGAGCCTTGCCTTGCTGGTAAGATGCATGCCAATCCCTTCCCTCCTAGTGAGTGGAGGGCGAGCCGTCCTTTGGAGCTTGTGCACACTGATGTCCACCAGCTCCCCTACCGCACCTTCAGTGGCTATCGCTACTGGGTCACCTTCATTGATGACTATTCGCGTTATCGCTTTGTCCTGCCTGTCAAGGCCAAGTCAGATGTCTTTGAGGCGTTCAAGACGTTCAAGGCTTATGCTGAGAACCAATCTGAGCGAAAACTCAAGACTCTGAGGGATGATAAGGGTGGTGAGTACATGTCCAATGCTTTCCTTGACTTCACTACCCAGAGTGGCATTGTGCGTCAGCACACAGTCAGGGCTCGTCCGCAGCAGAATGGTGTTGCAGAGCGAGCCAATAGGGTCTTAGCTGAGCGCATCACGACGATGCTGGACGAGTCTGGCCTTCCAAAGGCCTTCTGGGGTGAGTGTCTTGCAGCTTTGGTCCATGTCTGGAACAGGTGCCCCACTGATGCAGTGGATAATGCCACGCCTTATGAGCTGTGGCACGGGCGGAAACCTGATGTCTCCCACCTAAGGGTGTGGGGGTGCACTGCCTATGTGCATGTGCAGAAGGACAAGCGCTCTGCGCTCGAGTCCCATATGGAAAAGTGCGTATTCATTGGTTATCCAGATGGTTACAAGGGCTGGAAATTCTATAACCCCACCTCCAAGCGCACTGTCATCTCAGAGCGTGCTGACTTCGACGAAAGGTATTTACTTCTCTCAAAGAGGCCTTCTGGTGCGCTTCAGCCCCCTCCTCCATTGCCCTCTGTCGAGTCTAGGGTGATTCCAGACTCTGATGATGATGATTCTGACGAGGCACTGACTCATGGGGGGAAGAGGCGTCCACCAGGTCCACCAGTCCCACCTGCCATCGCTCCAGTGCCCCCTGCATTGGCTATTATGCCTGCAGTTGACCCAGCTGTCCCAGATGTCCATCCTGGTGATAGACCTGGCGTTCTGAGGCCTGATCCAGCGCCTCCTCAGCCCCCTGCCCACGTACCAGTTGTGCCAGCAGCCCCAGCTGCTCCTCCTCCCGCTTCTCCTGTTGGCATTGGTGCCAGACTGCCCACTCGAGCCAGACGCCCTCCTCGTGAGTGGTGGAAGCTTTCTAATGCGCAGTTAGATGATGAAGTCGATGATGATGAGGAGGAAGCTGATGTGGGCTTTGAGGTATGTCACTCTGTGGCTACCCCTGCTGAGCCAATGTCCTTTGCAGAGGCCCTGCGTCGTCCCTGATGCCGAGCAGTGGGCGCCAAGCCGCGCTTGAGGAGTTGGGCTGCTCACCAGAGCAATGGGACTTGGAGACTCGTCGAAAGACCCAAAGACCGTAAGGTCATAGGGTCGAGGTGGGTGTTCAAAGTCAA